GGTACCAGAGGTCCCAGCACATAGGGTCAGAGGAGGCGAGTTCGTGGAGACAGCAAGCAGATCAGTGACCGCCGAGGGCTGGAGAGCGGCCGGGGGGTCAGGCCGCGGCTTCTCCTGGGGGGAATACCAAAACCCATCAATTTGCACACTTTAGGTGGGTGAACTGTGTGTGAGTTCAGTAATGATGTGTGAAGGAAGGAGAGCATCATAACCCACAGTGAGCAAAGCCCGCAGCCCAGCTGGCCCGGCACTGAGTTTTCCGCGTCAGTTGTAAGCCTGCTTTGTATTCTCCCCATCCAGGGCCCTCCTTTCTTCACTCTCGCTAATTAGCTCTCGAAATTTTTATTTAATAACGGTGCCATTGCAGTGCCCCTCCTTCCGCCTCCTCGGTGCCCCCTTTTCTCTTCCTTTGTCAGTGCTCCGCCCAGCACCGCCTGTTGGATCCCGGGGACGAAAGCCATCCAGTACGTGTTGTCTGGAGGTGACGATTTCTTTTGTTCCCTAATGAAACGTTCACAGACGCGTCCGGTAGCCATTATGACATGTTTCCTGAAACCTCTGGGCTTCCTGCATGTGCGGTAGACGGCGAGGCTCTCCTTGGAGCTGAGTGTTTCCGTGAGCCTGGATCCTACTGTTTTATGTGCCTGACCGAGGGGAGGGTGCAGGCAGTTTCTCCTCCTCCCGGACACTGTTTTCAGTCTTGCCGGGACTCCCGGATTGGTGCCGGCCGTGAACCCTGCTACCCGATCTCGTGAATGGGGCTTGTTAGGGGGGAAGGTTTCTGCAGCTCATCGAGGCTCCCTGGGTCTCCCTGGTCTGTCTCCCCAATGGCACAGCCATTTATATGGCTGCCTTTGCCCCATAGAGTGTGTCCATGGCAGGAGCTGCCGCTTCAGCTGTTTCAACTGAGCGGAGACCCTGGCCGATAAACCTGACAGGTCTCCACCTTGGAATCTGTGCTGGAGAAACGTCCTCAGAGGCTCTGTTTGCCATAACTCAACAAATAAAGAAGGTTTAGTTACCTCCTTAATATCACCTGGATGTTTGACCCTCTTCTGGAAGGTCGAGTTTTGTGGGGTTTTGTCCTTCCTCTGGTCTGAGCAGCACACCTCAGGGAGGAGCAGGGCGAGCCAGGACCCGTGATGTAATGTGTCCTGACGGATGCAGACCTCAAGGGAAGAGGGTCATGAGACGACCTCTAGCCTTTTCCTGCAGGCAGCAGACAGTAGCTGAAACAGAGTGGGTGCAGAGGCAGTGAGCGACACAGACAGACAGACGGACTTTGAAGCCCAGGCTGACAGCTGAACAGTTGTTCCATCGGGTAGTTAGCAGCTCTGGACATCGATCTGTTACGTCTCCAGGTGCCTCCACATGGTCATGTACCAGTGAGGATGATGAGACTGACCCCCTGTCACCATTGGGAATTTAAATAGTGTCTGTGAGACACTGAATATATTGCTGGGCACGTGGAAGATGCTCAGTGAATAGTAACTTTAGGTTAATACAGAGCCCTGGGGTCACGGTCAAACTACATTCACCCAGGAAGGACTCCGAGGGCAGCTGTGGAAAAGACGACGGGGGTCGGGGGCGAGGAGACGCTCGGAATGAGCGAGCCCGATGGCACGATGGTGGCTGTTTTGAAAATCGTTCAGAGAGACCCCAAGCATCCCATGGGGGAAACCCGTGCTGGTCTCTCGGCCCCTTGTACCCCACACCGTCCACCATCTGCTGCAGCGTGGGAGTGGGGGAAGGGACCACCGTGTCTGTATGTCTGTAAGGGAGCTGTGACTGGATAAGGTTGGGAGGGAGGCCAGACCCATCACCTCAGAATTCAGAGGGAGTAATTGCAAGTGGGCCTCACGCCAGAAGGCAGCTCCCCACCTGAGTGTCAGACACCTGGGTGAGGCCCGGGAAGAACTGTAGGAAATGCCCTCTTGTTGGGGTCAGCAGGGCCTTGGTCAGGCCGGGTGTACTCAGGCAGCCGGAGCAGCGCTTTCTCTAAGGTCATGGCGTGAAGGCTCCCCTAGGTTTTTGTCACAGAGTGTCCTGGACAGGCATGAAGGAGAGGACCTCGAAACTTCCTTGCAGTTAGAAGTGTCTGAGGTTTGAGGAAAGCCTCCCAGGAATGGCCAGTTCCCAGGGGGAAATTGACCGACTGCACACGAACTTGTTGCTTATCGCCTAGCAACAAGAGGATGGCCCGGAGGGCTTCTTGCCTGAAGCTGCCTGTTCCTGCATGTCCGAAGGGGTCCCGCAGTGCAGGGTCACCTTGGAAGGTGTACAAGGTGGGAGAGGCCAGGTAACGGGAGGGTAGTGATTCGGAATGAAAGAACAAAACTTCTTGCCCCTCCGTGCACACCTCCCCACCCCGTATTTCAGGAAGTTCCTATGTTAACCCAAAGATAATATCTAGGGGTCTTTCTGTTAGGAAGACTGAGTCTGGAGAATCCCTTCAAAGATGGGGAGGAGCAGCTCCTCCGTAGTCACTGACCTTGGGAGGAAACACGAGCTTTCAGGCCCACTCCTTTCCCAAATTCGCTGGTGCGTTAACCGTGGCCCACACCGTCCCTAACCAGGTTCTCCCTGCCCGCAGAGAGTTCTTGGTTCCAGTCCCTTCCATGTGCCTCTGGTGGGTGCCCGGAGCTCTGGTTCGCGTGGTGGTCTTTCAAGGGGTGGACACTTTTGGTTCCAACAGAGGAAGTCCAATGACTTCAGATTCCAGCCATTAAAATGTATCTTTTTCTGGCTACTCCTGGTCGAATGTGTTTGCCCACATGTTTTCCTTTGTTGCTGAGAAGTGATATGTTGCAAATTCAATTTTCTTTTGTGAACATTTAAGGTACAGGGTTGCCACTTGAACTTTCCTTGACCACACCTACCTGATGGTCAAGGGCACAGTGGCCACGGTTTAGTTGCAAGTTGTCTTCATCCCCACTCAGGATTTCCAGGCAGTGGTTCTGGGCACTTTTGCCCGCTTAGACCATTTACCATGTGTCAGGACATCAAGAAGTGTGACAGCTTCTTCTTGTCTTTCTTTCAACAAAATGGTACTTTACTATATTTTTGAGTGTGTGTGTGCACGCAGGCATATCGTACCAGGTTGATTTTTGTTTTCTTCCTTGGATGTAAGTGCTTTCCCATAAGCCTGCTCTTTCATCCTGGCTGACCGAGATAGAGAAGGCCACCCGATAAGCCCTGATGAGACAGAGCGGGTCTGCCTGCACCTGCCGGGAAGCGCCGGTGCTCCCCACCACTCTGCCTGCTGTGAGCGGTGCCTGTGTTTGGGCCAGTCAGAGCAGCACGGACTTGAGGACGGGGAGGCCAGACTGAAGATGACTTTACAGGGCTCCCCGGCCTAGCCCTGAGCTCCTGCAGAATCACTCACGGCCCCTGGGGATGGGCCGCCTTTCTGTCCCAACTGGGATATTCAACCAACGGGTGGGATTTCCTTGGTTTACCAGGCTGCCCGCCAGCGGGCAGTCCTGCCCCCTGGCAAACCCGTCCGGCCCGGCCCTTAGCTCGTGCCTCTCAGCACCCTCACTGCCAGTCCCCCCATGGGGGCCCCGGGAAGGCTGAGCTTTCTTGTACCTGCCTGCTTATCTGTGGGACCCAGCCGGGCACCTGGCTGATAGGGTGGTGTGTGTGACACTCAGAGGGAGCCTTTCTCACCCACTCACCTGTGGCTAAGTGCTTTGTGGAGGATGCTCAGGGGTTCAATTGACACAGCTGGGGTCCCTGTCCTCCCCACCTTCCCGATGGTGTCTGATGGAGTCAACTCCTCTCCTGGCACGGCCTGGAAACCTGATGGCACGGCGGGCCCTGTGTCTCTGTAGCGCACTTTGGGAGTTGACGTGCGCTTTCCCTGAGGTAGCAGCAGCTTGGGGCGCCTTTATGCGTGACCATGTGCGCCTTTTAGGAAAGGTGCCCCTCGTTGTAGAGGGAGCAGCGGTGTGTCACTAGGGCAACCCAGAAATAACTGTAATGTCCCTCGACCAGTGTGTGTTGTGACTCGAAAGTGTGACCTCATTTGAACATCCGTGAACTCGTTCTATCCTTCAGAAATGATTCAGGATAAAATTGTTTCCATTTTTTTAAAAACAGTGTGGCGAAGTGGTCCCTTTTCTGTTTTTTGTTGTTGTTGTTCCCTGTCAAGAGGTCTAGTTCTCCATCTTCTCTTCCAGCAGAGCACGTTATTGTCATACGCTTTTAAAAAAACGTTTTCTCTGAGGTCAAGGTTGTGGAAGAACTTACTGGTGAGAACAAAAACAAATGTTTGTCGAAAACCCTAAAAACAGAATGTAATAGATGCAAAGACTCCGGAGAGGGAGGGAGTTACCAGCTGACATACGTGACTTTTTTCCTGTCCCAAAATGAAGAGAATGAGCTTTTAATGCGGTGCCTTATTTTTGTGTGGCCGTGACCCCACACCAACCCTTGTACTGCCAGAGGTGGGACATGCCCTTTGCTTTTCCAGCAGTTTAGAAGGGCTTTTGTTTTCACTGTAAGAATTCCAGTGAACAGAAAGATTGTGTGGTAACATCAAGGCGCCTTTCCCCCTGTCTGCTTCTCAGTTCATAGCAGCTCTCAACCCACCTTTAATTTTTAATCCTGCCTGGTGTGCTCCTTCCTGGTGGAAGCCAGGGAAGCACCTCCCTTCCTTTCTCCCACTCCCTTCCTTTCTCCCACCGCTCTGTAGGTGGAAATTTGGTAACTGCACTAAATTGAAAGTTTTGGCATTCATGTGGCGCATCCATCCATCTGCTGGCAAGACACACCGCCCGGGGCTTTTCAAGAAATCCCTTAATAGTTCCGAACACGAATAATATTTATATACATTACGATGAGACAAAATTTACAGCAGGCTTCTGGGGCTGGCTCCAAGGACTGGCTAATCCCAGACTTCTGTGTGTTCTCACCGCCCGCCCCCTCCCCCCCCCCCCCCCACCCCCTACCCCGTGTGTCCCGGCGCGCGCTCACCGCCCGTCCCCTCTGCCCCACAGCGTGCCCTAGCGCGTGCGGGAAGCGGGCCTGCACGGAGAACGGCGAGTGCTGCCACCCGGAGTGCCTGGGCGGCTGCAGCGCGCCCGACAACGACACAGCCTGCGTGGCCTGCCGCCACTACTACTTCGCCGGCATCTGCGTGCCCAGCTGCCCGCCCGACACCTACCGCTTCGAGGGCTGGCGCTGCGTGGACCGCGACTTCTGTGCCAACATCCTCAACGCAGACAGCACCGACACCGAGGGCTTCGTGATCCATGATGGCGAGTGCATGCAGGAGTGCCCTTCGGGCTTCATCCGCAACGGCTCCCAGAGGTCAGTCTCCCGGCCGGCTGTCCCGCAGCCCCGCCCACAGGAGGTGGCCGGGCCTTGTCCAGTCTGGGTGGGACTCTGTGGAGGGGAAGGGGTGGGCCCACCTCAGAGGGCTGGCCTGAGTTACAGTTTCTGTGAGAGTCTGGGAGGCCTTGACAAGTGTCTCTACCCGCCCCCAACCCCCCCCAGCTTGTTTTACATTTTGTTCTGGAAGGGGACTGCCTGGCCCTTTTAAATGAAGTACCTGCCTGGCTGGCTCAGGGACCCACAGGCCACTGAGTCCCTGAGCACTTGCCTGTGTGGCTGCCATCCACACAGAGGACTTCGGACGGGTTTGCAGCATGAGCCCCTGAAAGGCAAGATAAGCCCCCAGCAGCCTGTCTGGGGAGTGGGCGAGGACACCTCTCAGGCACAAGTGGCATCCTGTGTCTGAGGTGGCAGCTGCAAAGCCTGAGCAGTAGCTTAGAAGAACCTACATTTTCCATCAGCACCTTCTCTTCTCTCTCACCCCCTTGTCCAGCACCCTTGCTGTCCCCTTTTCTCTCTGCCCCTTCGACATATCTTCCTAAATGTTGAAACTTCACTTGGGAAGCAAAGAAGTTCCTTACAGCAATAGGTGTCCCTCTGCGCAAGCCAACTGGACGTCCATAAAATCGTCATTGGTTTATCTTTAAAAAAAAAAAACAACCAAAAACTAAGGCTAGCGTTTTTAGAATTCATAGGACTATCACCCTAGAAGCACTAGAGGACTAGAGCTCGGGGTGGCCGTCCAGCCCTCTGGAGCCGAGTGGGGGGCTCCGGGTTCGCGGGCGCAGTCCTCCGTCGTGACCAGCACCAGCTAGCCCCGCGTGCAGGCTGCCCCGCTGATATAAAATACCGCTAGGAACATGAACGTTGATGTCGAATATGCCGTGGAACCCTCCTGCTTCTGCTGCAGTCTGTTTCTGTGAGCCGTTCCAGCTAACTCTTTCGAAAGGGGACTGTTTCCTGTGTTACATTTGGAGACATTGCTCATACTGTAGGCCTAACTTTAAACCAAGGTAGAGCACACATTAGCCCCGAATAGTGGATGTAGAATGACTTTCCGCCCATGATAACTTCTGTAACCCTGGCAAATAGTAAAATCTATTCTAACTACTTTAAAATGGTACACGTGCCGAGACTCCCACAAACTGTGACGTGTACATAGTCCACCCTAAGTGAGTCTGCCACGCTTTGCTCACGTGCATTGTATGGGCAGCCTTAGAAGGTAAAAGGGCTTGGCCAGTGCCCTGGGCAGCCTGGGACCAGACAAGGCTTTGCCTTGGTTCCTCTTGGGGGTGGGGTCGGAGGGCAGCTGGTCCCTGAGTGGGGTCATGCCATTTCTGCCCCATGGCCGCATTTCTCCGTGGGAGTGGGCAGACTGGGGCACGTGAGTTTCCACAGCGCTGTTGCTCGCACCACGGGGCCTCCTGCCAAGAACTAAGCCTTCGTTTGTCCTGCTCGTTCTTACTGTCTGTTCAAAGCCACAGTGTAGCTTTTCCATCTTAAAGTAAAATGCCATCAAGAAAGAATATGCGCCCCCCCCAGCCTGTAAGGCCTATTGAACACTTAGCTTAAAACATTTTTAATACTGTTTATTCCCTCTTGGCACTAGAATGGATTTGAGGAAGCTTAATCTATAAACACATAATCAGGGTGCTTCCTTAGGCAAACACATTGAACTGCTACCTGATTCCTAGACATTCTTAGTTCCCCAAATATTTTTTTAATTTTATTATCATTTTTACCCCTTTTGTCAACATTTTATCTTTGAACTACAATTTGACATACAAGATTCTAGATTTTGTAGCAAAAGTGTTTAGTTCAGAAATTGCTGTTTGAATGCAATGTTGGGGGCAAGTAAACCTCCGTAGGACCCAGGAGTTCTGCCCTGAACATTTGCCCCAGACAAGCGGAAACTGACATTCATGCGAAAACATGTATGGAGTTGTTCATTGCAGCTGCGTCTGCAATACACAGCCCCAAACCAGGCACCACTCAGACGTCTCACACTAGGCAAGCGGCTGAGGAACCTGTGGCGCATCCACACCAGGGGGCGGGACTCAGCAGCGCAGAGAGATGGACTATTGAACCGCGCAGGAGCTGTGGTGGGTCTGAAGGACATTGCCTGCACGGATATGGTGCGCACCTCAGAAGGTCACATACCATGTCATTCCGTGTATGTGACATTCTCAAAACGACAAATTAAAGGGATGGAGAGCAGCACAGGGGGCGCCAGGAAGGAGTGAGGGACACGAGGCAGGTCCCTAAATGGGCGATCTTTGTGGATTCCTTCCCTATGGTTGGCCCAGTTTCCTTGAAAAGCTTGTCTCCCATTCTCCTGACGCAAAATAGGAAAACACCGGGGAAATTTTGTTCACCTGTAAGCTTTTAAACAAAACACAACCCTGTACCTTTGGCCTTAGATATGCAATCAAATTCCCTGTGTGTGTATGGGGGGAGGGGAACATTAATGAAAACAGCAATAACTTACACTGTTGTTTTGAATGTTTTTTTTTAATCTTTATAAAGTTTAAAAGATCGTGCAATGCTCTTTTAAACTTTGTGATATAAAACGTGATGGCTCTCCAACTCACCATCCGATTATTCACACACCCCATAACATTGTATCATTTATTTGGTTTGGACATCAACCCAAATTTTGATCCAGGCCCTGCGGCTCAGCTGCTAGGTTAGCGTTTCACCCGCTGTCTCCTAAGTAACGGGAGGTAGGCAGGCGGAGCAGCAGCCCCTGACTTTGCTGGTGATCTGCCTGCGGAATGTTCAGCGCAGCACTGGAAATAGGCGCTCATTACAGAGTAATGGAGGTTCCCGGCTCTTATTGTGTGTGCAGCGAAAACAACATTTGGATCAATTTACAAATTTCTGCAAAACACTGTCAGACAATCTCAGCTGTGCTTTGGCGGGAGAGTAACGGACCTGTGCAGTGCCCCAGGTTTTTCGGAAGCCCTCACCCAGCTTTCCCCAGACAGGACGCTGGCTGCAGGAGTGGGACTCCTATTCACAGCGGAGCTGCTGCTGTCTCTTCGCTGCTGCCCCTGTCCAACCTCCAGGGGGCGCCAGGCAGGAGCAGTGGCATCAGAGAGCAGCCTTGCTTTCCTGGGAAGCCCCCAGCCCTTCCTTTGTGGGAGGCTGTTTCCCCCCCATGAGGCCAGCTGGCTCACCAGGTGCCGGCCCTGTGATACACGCGTGCTTCATGGATGCACCGTGTGTTTTGTTTGAAATTAGCAGCACGCTCTTCCCTCTGTCTACAGTCTGCGTGGCTGATCCTGGGTGGGCTTGGGATGGGTTATAGTGGGACTACTTAAACGCATCAAAACGTCGGTGTTCACAATGTGAACATAAAAGCAGGGCCTTATGATTTTTTCAATGCAAGGGGACACTCTGACCTCTGTGTTTTCGGTCGGTTCTTTACCTTCAACAGCATGTACTGCATCCCTTGCGAAGGCCCTTGCCCCAAAGTCTGCGAGGAGGAAAAGAGGACGAAGACCATCGATTCGGTGACATCCGCTCAGATGCTCCAAGGCTGCACCATCTTCAGGGGCAATTTGCTCATTAACATCCGACGGGGCAGTAAGTATTCCATCCCCCCGGAAGGATGGCTGGTTCCCTTGGTTTTCTGGCACCGATGCTTGTTTTCTACCCATCCGTGACTCACACCTGAAATGCGGGCCTAGAAAAACAGCGGGTGCGTCAGCCTTGGGCTTGACACCTCACCTTTGCGTTTCCCCAGAGATAAAAAAGACCACATTGAAAGGCAGTCTGGGTTTTTTTTATTGTTGTTTTGTTTTTTTGCTGTTGGCCTGGAGTTTATTCCTGCAGAGGGCCATTCCTCATCTTCCCGTGAGTCGCCTCTTGCGCAGGAGATGCGTGTCCGGACACACAAACCCCAGAAGAGACGATGGATCAGGGGATGACTCAGCAGTCCCCAGTGGGAGCCAGAGCCACACAGCTTGGGGCCCAAAGAGTTCTGGTTGCTTCGATCTGTTCTAGGAGACTGGGCAAAGGGAAGAGTTCATGATATCCCTTTAAAATGTTCCAAAGTCAAAAGAGCGGTTGCTTTCTGGATTGGCTTCTGAGGGCCAAAAAGATCTGTGTGTGTCGCTCTGCATTTACCATTTTGGTCTCCCTGCACCTCCACACCCCTCCCCCTGCAGGGTGAGTGGCAGGGGTGGTGGGTGGTTTTCCTGGTGACTGCATTTGTGTGAACCAGGTCCCGTGGACATGCTCGTGACGTTTTCACTTCTGATCTTTGATGGACACGGGCTGCTTGCAGTGGTGCCTTAAATCCTCCGCAGCGGGGCCCCTGGTCAAGGTTCTGATAGTTTCATAAGCTAGAATAAATATAGTAAGGAGACCTTGAGGTTGAAAAGGAATTTTTTCCCCTAAATTCTTTTGTGTGGAAAGTGCTGTTATAGTTTGAGGGGGAGAAATGACTAATTTATTTGTTCTGTGAATTTACTTTTCCTTAATGCTCTTCTGTAAAGGAGTGAGCTATATTTTTATGGTTTAGAAACAGCAGAAACGGATTTTTGCCTTGTTCTTTTCCGTTTTTGGATGTCTCTCCTTTTTTCCCCTCACATTTTCTAGCCTTTTGCAACAGAGATAACTTTGTGTCCACGAGGCTAGAGTTTTCTACTCCCCCCTGGGTACTTGGAAAGCTTTATTTTTTGCTCTTACTTTAACAAGATCTGCTCATCCCTACAACGTACTTTTTAAGTGCCTAAACTTGCTCTTGAAGATATTCCTGACCTGAAGATAAAAATGTGACCCACGAATGAGGTCCGCGGAGAAGGGGCGTTTCAGGAGGAACGGCACTGTTTGTGCCCGATGATGAAACGGGCCTTCCGGTTTGTGTCCATTGCAGGACGTCAGTGGGGCTTGGGGTGATGGGCATGGCATTGGGAAGGCCAGCCCCCACCCGTGACTATAAGGTGTAACATCCAGTCCTGCAGTTCAAGTTCGAGATCTTTTCTTTGAAACCTCAATGGCAGGCATCCTCTAGACTTTACAACTTGAATTTCTCCTTAATATCCCTTGCAAAGCCATGAAACTGTGCGTTAGATGTAGAGTCAATACCCCCCAGGACAGTATCCTTATTTTCATCAATTCAAAGTAAAATATGACCTTTCATCAAATAATGTCTTCATAAGGCATAGTCAGTAAAATCCACTAGTCCAGTAACACCTAATTCATTGTAGCGTTGTGTTATCATTCCGGCTTAAGTTGAACTGAAGTTTTTGGGTTTTATTTACTGCTAAACACAGTGAAAGGAAGCACACTGTTTGTATACCGTCGTTTTCACATATGCATTAGCCACTATTTTCCCAACAAGTTTCTGTCTGCGAGAATAACCCACAGAGAACTTCGGCGTGCAGAAATGAAGTTCCCAGAATCACCTGCAGGCAGCCACCCTTGACACAGCGGCGAGTTTTCCTCCAGGCCTAGCAGGGTGGGATCTCCACACGCAGACAGGCCCCGGTATCGCAGGAACTAGGGCGGCCGCGGAGGCAGGCGGTAATGAGGCTGCGAGGACCTTGTTTATCCAGTCAGGCCCTTGTCTGCAGAGGCGGCGCGGGCTGTTGGCAGAGTGCTTTAAAAGACGTTCCCTAGACGTGTGGGCCTTAGCTAATTGGCAGTCTGGTATTTGCGATTTTCCATTCTGCTCATCAGCCTGCGGGTGCGAGTGGCCAGCCTTCTAGAAACTCGCCCTCCCTGGTGCGGCCAGGGCCCTGCCCTGGGAGAGGGGGTCGGCGTCAGGCCTGGGGAAGCAGTTTTTGACGAGGGACAGTGGGTCCTGTGCCAGCAGCCTGAGTGTGTCACAGTGTCACCCCCAGCACGGGACCGCTGTCTGCGATGGCAGTGAGAATCCAAGTGTGCCCCCCCACACCCCCTGTCCTGCAGATAACATCGCCTCGGAGCTGGAGAACTTCATGGGGCTCATCGAGGTGGTGACGGGCTACGTGAAGATCCGCCATTCCCATGCCTTGGTGTCCTTGTCCTTCCTCAAGAACCTGCGCCTGATCCTAGGAGAGGAGCAGCTCGAGGGGTAAGTGCTCTGAAGCGCAGAATCAGCAGCGCTCGTGTGGACCTCTGTGTGACTCAGCGAAGGGCCCGTCCTTGTGAAGACGGAGGACGTGGTGGTCGAACTGGTGCGCCTGGAGGGGTGGCCCGTGTCCTCCCACAGGCTTCCCTGCGGTCCCCAGGCTCCATCCCCCGGACGCCTCTTTGGAGCAGGAGTGCCAGGTGCCGGTCACTGGCCGCATGTCCGGCTGTGGCCGCAGAAACCGCAGACAAGGAGGCTCCTGGGGGCTCGTTGTTCCAGGCGCAGCAGGAAGGGCCTGAAGTGCCGCCCTCCGGGATCGTCCGGACGCGGGCCCTGCAGGCCCTGGGCGCCGCGCCTGCTGCACGGAAACCGGCCGTCTCTTAACCTGTTGGAACCTAAGGGGCTCAGAGGCGTACGGACGATTCTTTGGTTATAAAGAAATCTCGATTCACAACACTGTTTTTATTGATTAGCTTCTAGGGCCCACGCCGTTGATAGACTCTGCCTGCTGCAGAGATGTGCTCTGTGAGAAGGGTTTTAAATAGTCCGGGCTTCTCGCCGGAGGGTGCCGAAAAGCCGGTGCCTGTCGCAGCCACGGTTTCCTGCCAGTGGTTTTCCTGTGTGTGCCTTTGCCTGTAGTTTTCTCTTCCCACTCCTCCCTTTTCTTTTCTTTTTTAAAAAAACTACACCCAAGAATATGTTTATTGATTTTGGAGAAGAGGAATGGGGTGGGGGGAGCGAGGGAGCAACACTGGTTGCCTCCCATACGCACCCCCACCAGGGATCTAACTCACAACCTACGTATGTGCCCTGACCAGGGATCGAACCTGTGGCCTTTTGGTGCGGAGGAGGACACTCTGACCAACTAAGCCACCCGGCCAGGTTGTGTTCCCCCTTTGCAATACAGCTCTAGCCAGGCTGTAAGCAGACACTTTAAAATAAAAGGAGACATCCATCAGTGAACGAATTCCTTCTAAAGAGAATTTGGGGAAATAATATAGGGCAGAGAGAGGTGGGGAGGCCATGGGAAAGGCCCTCCTTAGTGGTGGGCCATCCTGCCTGGATAGAGTTACCCCGTCAGGGTCTCTTTGCGGCCTCCCTGCTTCTCTCAGATGAACTCTGGGTCGGTCTTAAATTCTTAAAATTCCATCACCTGATACCTCGAAGGGGAAGAGGGCGGCTCCTCATTCCATCCTTGGAAAGCACACTGCCCTCCCCACGGGGAACCTCCTTGTTCCAGAGACACGCCTTTCTCCCAGCCGGTCCGTGGAGGCAGCCACGGCACCCAGCCCCTGCGCGTCCCGTGTCACGTGGGTGGCAGGCTGGGGCTCTGCCCTTCTGAGGTGGGGCTTAGTGTTTGTCACCTTCGATTTTCATGAACATTAGCACAGACTTTTCCCTCTTCCCCAAGCAGTTTCAGATTTCTGGGAGCCCTGCTGACGGTGAGCCCTTTCTCGCAGGCAGACTGATACCTGCGAATTTTCCTGCTGCTTAAGGATACACATTTTTCCCCCCAGGCTGAGCACATGCTAGACATAGAAAGCTGAGAGGAGCGTTTAATTAACTTTTATTAGCGATTAGTACATGATGTGATTACCTTTTCAGTGTGTGTTCGCTGGAAGTGTTATGCACTTGAATGAACCTGAGAACAGAAGTCTTGTTTTTCTACCCAAGAATATGTGTGGTATGTGTGGTACGTCTCCTGATCTGAAGCTGGCATAGAACCTGAAGTCCCAGCAGGGTCTCTTTAAGGACGCCTGTCGTTATTCAGGCGTTGGGGACACTGCTGAGGGCAGGTGAGCTCCGGGCCCCTGCCCCGCGTCAGAGTTTCAGGTGAGGGAAGGGCAGGCAGACACGGGTTTCTCCGACCTGCTGTTGATCGGGAGCCCTGGTCTCCAGATGGTGCCGCGTTTCCAGCCCTTTCTGTGCTGCTTCTTGGGGGGGGGGGGGTTCTCTTTAGCGAGGGTGCTAGCAAGGGTTCGCTCACCTGCCTTCCACGCCCACGGCGGGACCGGCACCCTCACAGGTGACGGCCGCCCCACCGCAAGGTGCAGGGCAGGCCCAAGCGGCAGCCACAACTTGTGTCCTCGAGTCTCCTCCGTGGACTTGGGAAGAGAGCCACGTGCAGCCCTTCCCCACAAGCAGGGGAGAGTCTGAGGGCCAGAGAAGAAAGACATACAGTCAGTAGATAAGTACAAAACTTGGCGAGATGAACGAGGCTAAGAAAGGGAACCTGCCAAGAGTGTGGAAAACAAAACAAAACAAAAAACCACCCTGCTATCAGATGAAGAGGATGAGACAGGCTTCCTAGAAGATGTGGCCCTGAAGGCTTCCCCGAGACACTGCGGTGGAACCAGGGGGGAGGGGGCGGCGACGAGCAGCAGGTCAGCATGGGGCAGCCGAGCCAAGGTGAGGAGCCTGGGCATCCCGGCACCTGTTCAGCAGACCCTGCCAGAGAGGCAGGTGGCATCAGGACCGCGTAAGGCGCTATACGCCCAGCGTGGCGGTTGTAGTTCGGCAGATACTGGAAAGTAGTCCTGGCATCCGGCTTGGAGGAGCGTTCGCGGCGCTGTCTAGAAATGAAATTTTGGGTTATGTCATTTCCGCACGTTTTGGGTTGTAAGCCAAGGTAGCGTCTCTTCCAGTGGTTCCCAAAGTTTGCTGCACACTGGAATCATCTGGCGAGCTTTTCAGAATTCCTGATTACCCCCCCCCCCCGCCTTTGGACTGCATTCCAATAAAAGTATTTCCGGGTGGGGTCCAGGCCTCACCGCTTTCCTGAAGATCCCAAGGTAATTTTAAGGTGCCGCCAGGACCGGAAGCCCACTGCCGCTGTCGCCTGTCCTTTCTCAAACGCACACCCCGCAGCACTTCGGCCTTTGTTCCCAGGTATCTCCTTACCACGGTTGCCTTATAGGACAATTTTTCTTGAACCTCTCATAGCCATAAACATGTGCTTTCCTGTGGTGGTTCGGTAGGAAGAAAGTTTTGCAGCTGTTTTGTTTTTGTTTGTTTGTTTTAATCCTCACCGGAGAACATTTTTTTCATTGCTTTTAGAAAGAGAGGAAGGTGGGGCCAGTGGGGAGAGAAAGAGAGAAAAGAAATATCCATGTGAGAGAGAAGCACCGATTGATCGTCTCCTGAACGTGCCCCTGCTGGGGATCGAACCCGCAGCCTTTCTGTGCACAGGAGGACGCTCCAGCCAGCTAAGCCACACCAGCCAGGCCTGCACTTGATTGTCCAGGTGGAGAGTGGAGAGGTCCTCACTGCTGAGATCCTTCCTGTCTGGCAGCTTTCAAACTGCCACCGAGGTCTGTCTCCAGAAGTGTCCTGGGGAGCCCAGACCCCTCCCGGAACACGCAGCGCATGCGTGTTCCTGGAGCAGAATGAGTCTGCACTGGGGGGAGCCGATGTGCAGGCTGCGGACATGCGTGGTGGCAGAATCACACTGGAACAGACCGCGGGGCAGCTGCGAGCGGAGGGCGGGGCCCCGGCGGCCTCAGGCGGTCACTGGAGTTTGTCCCGAAGAATTCCAGTGGCCAGGGTTTCCCGGAGGACGTCCCTCGCTCTGGCTCTGTGTTTCCAGAGTGATACCTTGGGCATTAAGAAAACCGAGGTTTCTCTGCTCTGTGTGAGGGAACTGGGTTTTGTAGTGCACACGTACGAGATTTCTGTAAGGTGGCTCATGGCGGAGGCCTTGGGTGCGGCAGAGAAGCTCACCAGTTTCTGGGCAGTTCCTTTCTTTGGACAACCCTATTTTCTGATGGCATCAGATAAGTAAGCAGTTAGTGTTTCTTAAAGAAAATTCATTGATGGATTTCGAGAGAGAAAGAGAGAAAAAAACAGTGATTTGTTGTTCCAGTTACTTATGCACTCATTGGTTGCTTCTTGAATGTGTCCTGACTGGGGATCGAACCTGCGACCTGAACTTACCAGGATGATGCTCCAATTGACTGTGCTACCCGGCCAGGGCCAAGCTTCAGATTTTATGGTGGTTATTATTGTTGCCACCAAGGGTTGTCACCCTGGAAAGACTACAAGTCAGGGGAGCTGGTAGGTAACAAGCGCTGAAACTCATGGATGCACTCAGGCCTCTCATCTTCTCTGGGACTTTCTCAAAAATCATGCTGTCAGCCCTGTGACTCAGCAGTTTCAGTCTCTACCCAGAGACAGGAAAGTGTGCCCACACAAGACTTGTATGTGAATGTTTGCAGATGTGATATTCCTTGCACACCCGACAGAAACAGACAGCAGATCGGCTGGGGGTAGCGGCGGAGAGGGACCCACCTCGGGCAACGAGGGAACTTGGGCATGGTGGCCATGTTCTGACACTGCCACTCGAGGACGGTCTCACTGCTGAACAAATTCACTGCAACTCACGGAACTTGCATTTGTAATGGGCAAATCTGGGGGAGGTGAATTATACCTCAGTAAAGCTGTTGGAAAAACACTCAAAGAGGACACGTTTCCTGAGCATGCTTGATGCCTAGTGCCACTTCAGTGCAAATCCCCACCCTTGCTGGGACCCCAGGGTGGGCGCAGACACCGGATATGGGGACCATTTGGATGAGGTGTAAAGCAGCCCGGGCTGATGGGTTGGAGGCATCATCTGTGAAAAGGCAGAATCCTGGGTGCATTGCAGATTGCTGGGAGGCTGAGACAGCCCCGTGTGCTGGGCTCTGACGCCCCCTAGAGGCCGCCGGAAAGAGGCGGTGGTCTCTTCTGGGAAATGAAAGCAGGATTAGTGTGCACTGCAGATTCTCTTTCAATTGTCAGCAGGGTCTGGAAAGGGGGTCCCTTCCCCCTTCTGCAAGCTGGGGACCACGAGCTCAGCATCTTTTGTCTCAGCCCAGGAGAAGTCAAATAAATACTTCGCCTACAGTTGTTACTCAGTAAATGGAAGAGACGATGCGTGCAGACCCCGATCTTCAGATTCCCAAAGGCAATTCTCCGAATCCCAAACCCAGGCTGTCTTCTCAACACTCTACAAATGGCCTTCTTCTGCTTCTCCATCCTTCCTGCCCACCTTCCTGCCCGTCACAGGAGCAGGCGGCGAGGGGTGGATGTGGATACCTTGGCAGTCAGACAGCCCCGAGACCAGAGCCGCAGATGAAGCAGCCGAGTGTGCAGGGCATTCAGAGCATCGGTGCAGATAACAAACAGATGTCCTCAGGGAGACACCCAGCTGCCCCCGCCTGCCTCGGTTTGTCTGCGTTGTGCCAGAGGGGGCCTGCCCCATCCAGAAACACACATTTTTCTGCAACATGGGGAAGGCTGGGAGCCAAGACCCCAGTGCAACAGGTCCTGAGACCAACAGGTCTTTTCCTTCTGTGGCATCTCGTCAACAGCGGGGACACGATGCCCCACAGGAACTTAACTCTCGTTCGTGTGAAGCAGCCTGGGGTGGCATCCCCAAACCCCAGGCATCACAGAGCCTGGGCATGCTACAGAAAAACAGACCAGTAACTGGGTTTTTAAAACTACTCCTTGGATGTAAAGGCAGTAAGCCTAGGCACAGTGAGGAGGTCCCACTTACTGGGTAACTGACTGACCAGGCACTTCCATTAGGAAACCGTGGAGATCAAAGTGTGCGTGCACGCGCCTGCGTGTGCACGTGTGTGTGTTAAAGGCATGCAGGCAAGTCTCTGCCTTTGCTATCTCTTAATGCTCCTCTAATCAGGGGAGGAAGCTGGGGAAGTCGGGGTGGAAAAACAAGCCTGTGTTGACAGGCAGCTCAAGAATGCCTGGATTATTACTTTAACAAGGGTTCCTGGTTTATTTTTCCCTGTTACTCACACAGGCAGGCTCCGTAACGCCTGGGTTTTATTGCTGCTCGTATCCTGGCCCCCGGCCTTCTCCAAGCTGTAAAAAATGTTTGTGTTTACTGTAAAAAGATAATCTTGCTTTTCAAAGCAGTTAATCACATACACAGAATTTTCCTGTGCCTGCCACTCATGTGTCAAACTCCTGATTTAGAACGCACGCTCCCTCCCGTTGGGAGAAGTGCGTTTTGTTTAGAAGGTATTTTCAGCATGGTTCTGTTCCCTGCTGGTGAAATCAGTTTACTGAAAAGGAGCCTCATCCCGGGTGGAGACAGCAGTCGGACCTGGTCAGGGGTCTTCAGTCCTGGCCCAGAGACCTGTGGGCCGACAAGGGGATTTTGCCCTGTGGGGCCCACTCAGAAACCAGGGAGCAGCCTAGCCCAGCAGGGCCCTTCAGACCCAGAAATACTCCGTGGGCAAGAGGGGCCTAAAATAGGATCTGTTTCCACCTGTGCATGTGGCCTTTGTGTGTGTGAGTGACGACCTGAGTGCCCCAGCCTTCCGGTGGCATCGCCTGCACCTGGCAGTGACGGAGAGGTGGGGACCGTCCCAGGGACGGTGAATGTCAGTCACCTGGCCATGTCCCAGCACTTTCTGCCTGTACACATGGTGTATGTATCGGGGATTGAACCTTACCAGAAGGAAAGGATGGCCAACTTGCAAGGTTTTGCCTCCTGATTGGTGGCCACGAATGGGTGGGTGGGCTGGGAGAGGCCTGGCTGGTGATCTGAGGCGCCACCTTTGGACTCCCTTGGCTCACTGGCTCCCACCTGCACCCCTCAACACGTGTGCAGGCAGGGCCCAGAGTGCAGGGCCGGGCTTTGGGCTGGCGGGGTGGACACCACCTCCCTTCCGTGGCTTGGCCTGGGCATCAGGGTCTTGGACTGTAAACACCAAGGAGCTCAGAGGACACCTGTTCGTACGTGGTGGTGTCCTACAAGTGAGTCAGCAGGCCACGGAAGGCACTGAGGGCCTCGTCCGGCCTTGCTCCCCACCTCTGAAATCCCGGGGAAACGTCACACGTCGGCTCGGCTGTGTTGTGCCCGTAACTTTTGCTTTTGTGCCAATGAGTGAGACCCAGGCTGAGGACTGGCTGGGGCCTATAGCGGTCCTGGTGCGGTGTCAGTGAGGAGCCTCACCTGGCACAGACAAGTGCCCCATGGACACAGCCCGAGGGCAAAGGGGAGCTGAGGGCCCCTGTCCTGGCTCTACGGGAAGGACTGGGATCCCGTCTTCTCTGATGGTTGTGGCTTGGATCAGGAGTGAACCTCAGAAATAGCTCCAAGTGCTGCACCCATTCCCAGACTCAGTTTTGGAGAGAGGGCGAGACTGAGCCCAGAAAGAAGCTGAGGCCGGGGAGGAGCAGGCCGGGAAGGGAGTGGTCGAGGTTGGGGAGCGCACCCCTGCACAGAGGACTCAGAAGGGCGGTTGCGGCGCTGCAGGGTCTCTCTACAGACCCCAAGCTGCAGCTGTCTGCTCTGTCCCCTCCCCGGCTGTGGGGTGTGGCCTTCTGTCTTGGGAGCCGGAGATGGCCATAGCCACTGCTAGCTGTCCCCACATTCTCCCTTCAGTGGACGGTGGGTCTGCTGCTTTTGTGTGCACCCCCTGGGGCAGCACCCACATTTAACGTGGACACCTTTGGACCTCCAGCCCCTCGCCAGCACTCAGTGTCCGTTAGACCAGTGCTTTTCCACCAGTGTTCCTTGGACCAACAGCATCGGCACCCCCTGGGCACTGGTGAGAAATGCAGATTCTTGGCTCATAAAGGCCTGCTAATCAGAAACCCCAGGGATGGCTCCCAGGACCCTGAAAAGCAGCTCCGAGCTCACTAAACCATGTTGGATCCCGAGTCACTCTCACCTGGGTGGATGGCCCAGGGGGCTGCCCAGTGGGGGACGGTTTCTCTGCTCCCATATTCTCCAGGGGTGGAAGCTGAGGCTTTTCAGGTCTGGGTGAGTCTGCAGGAGGGAGCCTGCCTCCTGTCCTAGCCTCTGGCCTTCCCCATCCTACACTGCCAACGGCAGGGATGGGGGTGAGCCCCAAGGATAACGGCAGGTGTCCGGTAGCCGGTGTGTAAGCCGTTCCGAGTGAGTAGCAGAGCGTATCTGTTCTCCTGTGGATGGATTTCCAGTGCATTGAACATGCTCTGCATGGACAGAAAAAGCCAAAGGCATTTCTGGGGAACAATTCGAGTAACCTCCTTGACTGTGAGAAGCATTCTTTGTTGGTAATAGAGGTCATGGAATTAGCATCTTGTCAATTTCAGCATGCTGCCCTTGAATCCTATTATTGCCATTGTTAAGGGTAACTATCCATTCTTTTTTACAAAATATATTTCATTGATTGTGCTGTTACAGTTGTCCCAATTTTTTCTCCCTTTGCCCCGTTCTGCCCGGTACCCACCTTCCCTCCAGCGATGCCCCACCCTTGGCAAAAGCCATATGGCCCGGAGCCTCACGGAGGTCCTGGGAGGTGGCCAGCAGGCTGGGTGGACGGTGGGCAGAGGGTCGAGGACGCTCATGCCGGTCTCTGTACTTGTAGGAACTACTCCTTCTACGTCCTTGATAACCAGAACCTGCAGCAGCTGTGGGACTGGGACCACCGCAACCTGACCATCAAAGCAGGCAAGATGTACTTCGCCTTCAATCCCAAGCTGTGCGTCTCCGAAATCTACCGCATGGAGGAAGTGACGGGGACCAAAGGGCGCCAGAGCAAAGGGGACATAAACACCAGGAACAACGGAGAGAGAGCCTCCTGTGAGTGGACACCTGCGGCCCCGGCACGGTGGGAGGGCAGCGCCCGCCTGGGCCTGCGTCTGCGGTGCCCCTCGCTTTGCCTGGGTGGACCCCGAGGCTCCTCACGTGCCCTCACTTGCATGTGTGCGTCTTCAGAGTCAGCGGTGGGGCAGACGCGTGATGACATGTGTCTGTAAACCTCCTTGGCGGCCGTGTGGGAGGAGTGCTCACCGTCCGGCAGTGGGTTGGTGCCGAGGTCCCAAAGCAGTGCCCACAGGACATTCGGTTCACTGTGCGTGCACAGGGGTCCCGCCACGTTCTGTCTCAGGGCAGAGCGGGGCCTCCCTCTCCTTCCCATCCGGCCCTGGACATGACGCTGCTACAGAGAAGTTGTGCCGCTGGGCTGGGTCGGGTTCAAGGAGGACATTGTCACCCCCTTCAACATTTGTTCTCTTCTGCAATTTGTTGGGGTGACCTTGGGTAATAGGGTCACATAGATTCTGTGTCACACTTCTGTCCTGTGTGATGTATACATCGCACTGAGTGCCCACGACCCCAAGTCGACCCATCTCTGCCACCAGCTAATGGACCCCCTTCACCCTCTATCACTCCCCACCCTCAACTTTTAAGTGGGGAAGGGTACTGAGAAAAACGAGTGGTTCACACGATGGAGGGTCCGCAAAGTGACCCGCATTGGACGTGGGCCTGTGTGGCTGGTGTCTGGACTTCCCTCGCAGACACTCGGTTGCTCTGGAAGGGTTTCCGGAGCGAAGGAAACGGACCCGCAGCTGGAACGCGTGTTTCCAGCCCGCGCTTCCGCCCGCTCCCCTGCCCCGCCCGCCGGCCAGGCCCCCGCAGACGCTGTGCACGGTTGGAGTGGGTCAGTGCTGTCCTCCTCGGACTCGGCCGTCTCACCTGTCCCATCATGCGTACAGGAGCCGTTTCCCGTCCTTCAAACACAAAACCCTTTTCTGCCTACATAACACCTTAGCGGGAACTGGGGCAGTTTGCTCATCTCCAGCCCACCTGTTTTGTTAGTTTTTCACTGCCTTTAGCTCCTGCTAGGGCTGGAGTGTGGGATTCAGGCAAACACGGGGGAAAAGGACACCTCCAGGGAGAGCTTCAGGTCCCAGGAGGGGGAGGTCATCCACCTGACTCTGGTCCCCATCTGGGTTTCAGTCTGGTCTCGGGAGCAAGACAAAGCAAGGGCTCGCCTCACACAGAGCACAGGGAACTCCATGAGGTGCAGTTGTCCTTCTCGGTGCCTAAGGTGTCCCCGACCTGGGTCTGCTAGCTGGAGGCCTCCAAGGAACTCTAGTGTCCCTCCAGGGTGACGCCAAGTGTGTACTAAGCAGGGTCCCCTCGGCGGCTTGCCTGGTCTGTCCCCCGTCTTTGCTGGCTGCACAGGAGCAGAGCAGGGGCCATCACGTGTCAGAGTCAGCTCGGCTTCAAGGCCCGCCCTCACCCGCCCAGGCCCCCGAGGGAGCCCGGGCTTAGGGATCAGCAGAAAGTAAGGCACCTCACTCAGTCAGGAGGGCCTTCTCCTTCAGGTTAAGAGTCACACGCAAGTTCACGTCTACGCCGAGTGCACCGAGACGAAAGAAGGAGCCCCTGGGAGCTCCGTGTGGTGACATGCAGGGAGGGGCAGAAGTAGGTTTGCAGTTTGGATGGAAAATAATACAATGACTAATACGTCATAGTACAAGAATAAACTGTGCTTTGCACACTTACAACCGTAAACCTGCTTCTGCCCCACCCCATATCTCAGTCCTCAGTGGAAATAAGGAAGCCACGGGGAGGTCCAGAAAGGGACTGGGTGAGCACGCACAGTGCAGGCCCGCTGACTGCTCAGGCACGGGCAGGAGCAGGGTGCTTGTCCGTCACTCACGGATGTGCCTCTGGCCCCAGGCGAGAGCGACGTGCTGCACTTCACCTCCACCAACACGTGGAAGAACCGCATCATCATCACATGGCACCGGTACCGGCCCCCGGACTACAGGGACCTCATCAGCTTCACCGTCTACTACAAGGAAGCGTGAGTCCTGCGTGGTCCTGGCGGCAGCCGTGTGCCGTTGGTGGGACGGTGGGTGGGGAAATCCACGCTCCCTCCTCAGTGTCCTCCTCCCCCGAGGACACGTGGCGTCTGTCACTGCCACCGACAGCTCCAATTGGGGACATGTTAGCTTCCGTGGGGAGGGGCAGTTGAATAAAATAAATCCAGAGGAAAAAGCTTGTTTTTCAGTGAATTCAGTCAGTCCAAATATCCATAAACTGGATGGAGGATGGGGTTGAAATGTCACTTTGCTGCCCAGTGACTCCTGCTCCAGGGACACCTTTCAGGCTGGTCTGCTCCCTTGGAGGCGGCTGTTGGGGAAGGTTCATGTCTGGCTGCTGTCCCTTTACCCATGGGACCTTCCTGAGGTCATGGGCCCTCCACTTGAGGGAGAATGGAGAGGAAGAGGTCTTGAACCTTATGTGCCTTTTCCCAGAACCTGTTGGGGCTCATCTGGTGCCTTCAGGTGACAGCCGCCTGCCTGAGCAGCCGTGACTCACCCCTCCAGATGGCAGTTGTCAGTCCCTCTTCCTCTCTCTGTCTCCCCTGCCTGGGTGGTTCCCCAGTCTGTTTAGTCCCCGTCCTGGCCCAGGTCCCGTGTTGGTGCTGCAGGTCTGTTCCTGGCTGCTTGGCTTCCCCAGAGCTCGGACCAGAGCCACCAATGGCAGGACCTGGTCCCCTTTCCTCTGCTGGGGCCAGGGCCCTGGGCATGGTCCTAGCAGTGACAGCAACAGCCTGAGATGTTTATGTGTCCCTGTATACGGTGGTTGCGCGTGGCCTTTAGCCATGATGGCAGTGACCAGTGGCCGTCCAGCCCTTTCAGTGGATGGCGGGCTGATTCCAGTTCAGCTCTGCACTTGTACAAACACTCGATTCCCTTCGATAGCCTACCCTGGCTTCAGCCGTGTCAGAGGGAATTTCACCAAAGAGCCAATGATGCTTTCTGAGACCATCAGGAAACGAAGTATTTGAGTATTAGAAGACACTTAAACAATCAGAAATGCTTGTGAGCAAATTAGATTTGGGGAGCTGTACTTTAGAAGCTATTTTTCTGTAGCAAAGTCACTGTTCTCCAAAAGTTATCCTTTATCAGTAGCTGAGGTTTGCATTAAACGACTATGCCTGTTTTTCCGTGATGGTGAAAAAAATGCCAGTAACCGCAGAACTCGCTCTTCCTGAAGCTGCAGATTCAGTTCTGTAGTGCGACGTAACCATGGTAACACCTGGAGTCCAGTTGCTTAATTGTTTTAGTCCATAAAAGATGGAATGCAGCCCTGGCCAGGTGGCTCAGTTGCTTGGACCATGGTCCTGTGCACCAAAAGGCCGCGAGTTCAATCCCTGCTCAGGGCGCGTACAGGAGGTAGCTGATCAATGTTTCTCCCTCCTTCCTCACCCCGTCCGTTCTCTCTAACATTAATAAGCATGTCCTTGGAGGATCAAAATGTTTTTAATGGGATGGATTACTTTTTTATTTAGGATTTGCATTACAGAACGTGCGAGGCCCCTGGGGAAGGTTTCTGCGAGCCTCGAGGTCAGAGCCTGAACCCAGGCCCTGAGCTGCGCCCATTTATCTTGCAGACCCTTTAAAAACGTGACGGAGTACGATGGTCAGGACGCGTGTGGCTCCAACAGCTGGAACATGGTGGACGTGGACCTCCCCTCCAACAAGGACATGGAGCCGGGCATCTTGCTGCACGGGCTGAAGCCCTGGACGCAGTACGCGGTGTACGTGAAGGCCGTGACCCTCACCATGGTGGAGAACGACCACATCCGTGGGGCCAAGAGCGAGATCCTGTACATCCGCACCAACGCCTCAGGTAGCGGCGCGCCGCTGTCCGGTCGCCCCAGCCTTTCCGCTGCAGCGGGTTCGCACGCCCCCCCCCCCTCTCTCTGTGTCTCTCTCTTCCTCTCTGTCTGTCATGCTCTCTCTCTGTCTGTCTGTCATGCTCTCTCTCTGTCTGTCTCTGTCTTCCTGTCTCTCTCTGTCTCTCTCACGCTACCTGCCTGTCTCTGTTTCTCTCTGTCTGTCTGCCTTTGTCTGTCTGTCTCTCTGCAGCCCTTTTGACTCCTCCCTTTCATTGTGGCTTCTTGCCATTTGAATCAGAGACTCAGAAATCTGAGCTGCAAAGCACAGCGCTCAGTTGACCACTCGCGGGAGGTGACTGCCCACAGAACGGCAGTTGTGCCAGATGAGAAAACTGCAGTGTTCGAATTAGCCGTCCAGGGGAGTCACCCCCCTCACCCTGGGGTGCCCTGCACAGCTCAGTCGTGTTTGTTGTCACCGAGATCGCCTGGAAATGGGTTTCACAAAGGCGGGTGTCGGCAGTGGAATGCGCACCATTCACACTCCACGGCGAGGCTCCCCGCTGTCTTCCCACCCAGGCCGAACTGTGGGCTTCTGGTCGGTTCTCCTTGAGTACCTGGGTCCTGGGTCCGTTCCGTTTCCTGAAGTGTCTCTCGTCCCCCCTTCTAGTCCCTTCCATCCCCCTGGATGTCCTCTCGGCATCGAACTCCTCTTCGCAGCTGATAGTGAAGTGGAACCCGCCGTCCCTGCCCAACGGCAACCTGAGCTACTACATCGTCAGGTGGCAGCAGCAGCCCCAGGACGGCTACCTGTATAGGCACAATTACTGCTCCAAAGGTAAGGCGGGCAGGTGTGGGGGCCACGCCCTGACGGGACACAGGCTGCAGACCCTGGACGGCTCACAGCCCCGTCTGGTCCCCGGCACCCCGTCCCCTATCTGCAGGAGAGCTGGGCCTTCATCCCCACTCTCGTGGGGCCTCTCTTCTCCAAGCAGACAAAATCCCCGTCCGGAAGTACGCCGACGGCACCATCGACATCGAGGAGGTGACAGAGAACCCGAAGACTGAAGTGTGTGGGGGGGAGAAGGGGCCTTGCTGCGCCTGTCCCAAGACTGAGGCGGAGAAGCAGGCCGAGAAGGAGGAGGCCGAGTACCGCAAAGTCTTTGAGAACTTCCTGCACAACTCTATCTTCGTGCCCAGGTGCCCGTGGCGTCTGTGGAAACGCATCCGGGCTGGGGCTCTGGGGCGGGTTCTGTTGCTGCGTCTTCATCCTGGGAGTTTCAGCTCAGCAGCTTCAGGGTGGAACCACGTCGCTGTGGAGGAGGGAGGAATAATATACCATCAGCTCAGCTGGGTGGGGCTCCTCCAGAACCCGGGGAGCCCCAAAGGAAAGGGGGCTCAGGGTTCGTGCTGTGGGGCCCCAGCAGCTGCCTCTCAGCCACACAGCCCTCAGAAGGGTCACCCTTCCAGCTTCTCTGACCACCTCTTCTGCCTTTTGGGTGGGGACTGGCTCCCTGCAGTGACTTTATGCAGCCCCTTTCACTGGCCTTGTTTTTGGAGCCGTCATTCCAGGCCTGGGTCAAATCCACGAGAGCGACCCTGCCCCTAACAGGGGTGGGCCTTGGGGAGGCCGCAGGAGGCAAAGAGGGGGCTGTGAAAAATACAAACCCTGGGGCCTCGGAGGGGAGGGGTCAGCAGGAACTACAGAGGGGAGGGTCCAGGGTGCGGACCATGCTCCCTGCTGGCATCTGTGCTTTTCCCCATAGTCAGAGGGGGTCAAAGAAGCCACTGCCACAAGCCTCTGACACCACCCTGCCCGTCTCTCTGAGCTGATGCCACACACCTCACCGCCTGGTAAATCTGTGTGACCAGCAGGCTGGTGCCCTTTGGTGCTTGACCATGAGGTCTGTGGGCCAGGTGGCACAGTCCCGATTCGACCCCAGGATGCTACCATTAGACACACGCTGGCGGAAGTGCCCTGGGAGCCTGGGTGCAGTCTGGGTGCTGAGTCGGAGGTGTGGGGAGGAGAGAGAGCCAGGTAAGTAGTGAAGAAGGCGGTCCCCTTACCGTTTGTTGGTTCTTAGCCAAGAGGGCTGAGTAGCTGCTTCTGTTCCAAGGTTAAGGTGTTTCTCTTCTCTCCGTTACTCTGAATGAGTCACACACGAGACAGAGAAGGTGGAGGCATGCACAAGCCAAGTTTGTCTCTCCCTTGCAGACCTGAAAGGAAGCGGAGAGACGTCTCGCAAATTGCCAACACCACCATGTCCAGCCGGATCCGGAACAGCACGGTGACGGAGGCCTACAACATCACAGACCTGGAGGAGCTGGAGACCGAGTACCCGTTCTTCGAGACCAGAGTGGACAACAAGGAGAGAACTGTCATTTCCAACCTCCGGCCTTTCACCCTGTACCGCATCGACATCCACAGCTGCAACCATGAGGCCGAGAAGCTGGGCTGCAGTGCCTCCAACTTTGTCTTTGCGAGGACTATGCCTGCAGGTATGGTGTGATCCAGCCGATTAAAGAATAGGTAGCCTGGCAGACCAGCAGCTCCGAGGGTGTGCAGTCCACTCATGGAGACCTCACTCGCATCCTGGTCTCTCCATATAAAGTTTCAAGAGCAGGAAGCTTGCTCCAAGGTCAAGTTTCCTTCTCCAACTTGGTTCACAGCACACATGTCCGTGGTCCTTTTCCTTGTAGAAAATGTGCCCAGTCCCTTGTGAGTTCTCACAGATTCAGTGAAGTCTGCAGTGAGCCGCCTTGATTCAGAGTGACCCTCAGTCCTCAAGGTCAACTCCTGGAGTAGCCTTAGGGCCTGCCAGTTTGGTCTCCACTGTCCCCTTGCGAGTTACAGGTACCTGTCACTCAGACAGCCATCCACCATCTTGAGGGATGGGGGAAGTGCCGGCTCTCTTTCCTGCTGGGGACAGCAGGACATGCCTCCGTGGGGCTTCTGGACACTTACAGGACATTTCATCACTCCAACTCCAAAAACCCCTGCTGTGTGGCAGCCACCAGCTCTCAGGGGCTTTGTAGGGTCACTGTCCTTGGTCCTGGGTCGGGGGAGGGTGCTTGGAGGCCAGCCCAGTGCTGGTGCCCCTGCCGGGGGACCCCAGGCCAACTCTATTGTGTGTTTATATTGCCCCACAGAAGGCGCAGACGACATTCCTGGGCCCGTGACCTGGGAGCCGAGGCCCGAGAACTCCATCTTTTTAAAGTGGCCGGAGCCTGAGAATCCCAACGGGCTGATCCTGATGTACGAGATAAAGTACGGCTCGCAGGTCGAGGTGAGATGGGGTCGGCGGTCCGTGTCTGGGCGTGTGTCCACTGCCCTTGATGGCGCAGGTCCCAGTGCAGCGTGGGCCACCTCCCGGTGAGCGGAGACTTCCAGCAGGGAAGTGAGAGCTGAGCCGGTGAGGGTTCAGGGGTGTTCAGCCTCAGGCCCACAGGCCACGCGCGGCCCAGGATGGCTATGAATGCCGCCCCACACAAAACCATAAAGCTACTTGAAACCTTTCCTTTGCTCGTCAGTTTTTGTTAGTGTTTGTGCATTTACTGTGGGACCCAAGACAGCTCTTCTTCCAGTGGGGCCCAGAGACGCCAAAAGCTTGGACACCCCAGTGGGTCTTTCTTCCAGCTCCACGTCTTTGAGAAAGGTGTGGACCGTGCCAGGGGCCGGGCTTGTCACCCTCAAGAAACCGTTGCACAGAGTGATTCTTTGGTATAGGCTAGATTGGTCTTAATAACTTTTAATCTTTCTGGAGCTATTTTTGGTCACAAAAGAAAACAAACCACATGTAGTTAGAACAGGGGCATCAAACTCATTGTCCCTGGGGGCCACATCAGCCTCACGGTTGCTTTCAAAGGGCCGAATGTACTTTTAGGACTATGAATGTATCCAGGCCTTAACAGTTGAGCAAGAGCTCTTTGCTGCCACTGTGTAGAAACAAGGTTCCAGGCCGGGTAAAACCAGGGGGAGGCCGGATTCAGCTCTTGGGCCTGGTGTTGGCCCCTGTGGGCTAGAACCCGGGTGTGCTTGGGCCCCTGAGGGTCTGCCCCGTAAGGCTTGGTTTCGTCCCTCTCTCTGTGAGTCGGGCTCCCTGTCAGGAGGGAGGTGCGCGGCGGGGCCACGCCAGTCACTGGCTCGCGTGTGTTTGTGGGAAGCTGACCCGTGTGTCTCGCCCCCGCAGGATCAGCGGGAGTGTGTGCCCCGGCAGGAGTACAGGAAGTACGGAGGGGCCAAGCTGAACCGGCTCAACCCGGGGAACTACACGGCCCGGATCCAGGCCACCTCTCTGTCTGGCAACGGCTCGTGGACGGAGCCCGTGTTCTTCTACGTCCAGGCCAAAAGTAAGGCTTGCGGGGGAAGCCTTACTTGTCTGGGAAAGTGGACGTGGCGTGGGCCGGGGCTGGGGAAGGCTGGCCTGTCCTGGCCCTTCTGTTCTCTGGTTTTCCACTGGGGCCGAGTTGGCTGGCTTTCAGGAGGGTCACACTCCTCTTAACACGCTGAACTTGGGCTATGGAGCTGCTGCACTTGGGGCCCCTACCACTGGATGGGGAGACCTGAGCACCCCTTTGCAGGGAGTCAGCAAGAGGACTTTGCTCTCAGCTTGGTGTGTGTCTGAAGCGTTTCAAAAAGCAGTGAATTGCCCGTCCGCCTCCTGCCTCCGCAGAGGGGCTGGTTAGGGCTCAGGTCCCAGGCTTTGGCTCCTGAGGGTGACAGAACCCTGTGGGCCATCTGCTCCAGGGCCGGAGTCTCTGTGACGGCACCGCAGGCTGTGACAGTGTCCCCACACCGCCCATTAGTAAATCACAGGTGCGCGCTGAAAGTGCCCATGTGATTGAACCCCCACGGGCTCGCCATATCTGGAGCCGATGCTCAGACCACAGACGAGACAGAATCCCTGGAAGGCCGTTCTGTGTGAGGATTTCAGATACTGAAACTGAATTTGGGAAAGTGTATAAGCCACTAAAGGGCCTTCTCGCTTGGCTGAGAAAATTCAGTCTTTTGTTTCGTGACACACCTGTCCCTTATTAGTTCCACACTGACTTTCCACTGTTTCTTATTAGAAACCCAGTTTTTTAGAGTATTTTGTGTCCAGAGAGTGGGGTCAAATTTGGTAAATGCCATTTCTGGCTGCTTCTCCCACAAGAGGGAGTAGCCCCTCCTGGCCCAGCGGTGTGGCTTAGGGGCCTGGTGGCCGTCCCTTGCGCCCCGGTCCCTCCTGGTGCCATTTTCCAATTCAGGACCCGGCTGACCCAGCAGCCCGCCCCCTGGTTGGCTCCTGGCAGTCAAAGGTGCACAGGCCATTTTCAAGCCCAACAGTGACATGTCGTAAGAGTGACCAACCGGGGAAACGAAATTGCTGGGTCAGGTTTCAGGGGTAAATAAGTGCCGAAGCAGATAGGCCGTCAGCTAACGCAGTCCCCGCAGAGACCCCGTGCCCTGCTCTGGCCAGTTATCCTGGGCCCCCCCGTTGCAGCGCCGGCTCCTTCACTGCCTTCCTGGGACCCTCTCCAGAGTGGTGGCCCGCTTCCTCCTCTTTCCTCTCCTGTCTGCATCCATCCCTTGGGGACAGAGCCTGGGGCTGGGGTCTGCCATCTGGCAGTGGTCTTGGAAACAGTGGCCTTGGCTTCTCTGCAGAGACGACATGCCCCTGGCAGCCACTGCCGCCCCATGTGCACCCACGAGCCCCGCTGGTAGAACTTTCCCAGCAGAACTGGGCACATACCGCAGGGCCACTAAGTCTGCACGCCTGCCTTCCCGTGTCCCACAAGACCCTCTCCGCCTCGTCTGCTGCTGTTTATCAGAAACTTGGAAAGCTTTCTGGCAGCAACAGCCCTTTCAGGAGCCCTTCATGTGCTCGACTCCCCTGGATACCTCTTCAGACTCTCCTTCTCCAGACTCAGTGATCTTGGTCTTCTCACAGCCCAGCACCACAGGCCCATTTGCTAGTAGCTGAATCGTTTCGTCTGTTCCTGGATGTGCTCTGGTTTCTCCATGTCCCCAAGGAAACGTGAGACTTGAAAGGAACATGATGCAGCAGCCTGACCGGTGGCATGGATGACACCAACTAAAAAACAGTCCCCGGGGGCAGAAAGAACAGACTCCACAGGCTTCCCGAAGGCAGTGATCACTTGCAAGCAGTCTCAGGAATTTCAAAGGAAAGGAGCCTGCATCCGTTTCTGAGAGCTGTTTGATAAACACGTCTTTGATGTAAAAATTAAAATAGCTTTAAGAGACCTTAAAGAATAGTGACAGTCATGGTTTTTAGTGGGGAGGGAGATCTTTATTGGTGAGCGCAGCTAGGCCCCCGGTGAGGCCCCACAACGTCCCCACGGACGCAGCTCCACCCGCGTGTCCCACAGGCACCTCCCAGTCCCTGTGCACAAAACCAAAGTCACACTTGCTACCCCCAGTACACCTCTGTTCTTTGTTCCAAGCTCAGCCAGTGCCCCCTTGGTCTGCATCGCGCGCAGGCCAGGACCCTCCCAGTCCCCCAACTTCTCATTCAGACCTGGCTCCTCGATTTCTCCCTTTAAAGAATTCTGGAGCTCTGGCTGGTGTGGCTCACTGGATTGAGTGTCAGCCTGCGAACCAAAGGGTTGCTGGTTTGCTTCTCAGCCAGGGCACATGCCTGGGTTGTGGCCAGGTCCCCAGTAGGGGGCACTCAGGAGCCAGCCACACATGGATGTTTCTCTCCCTCTCGTAAAGACAAAAAGAACTCTGGACTGCAGCATCGGCCACCACCACCACCCTAGCTCAGAGCCTGCAGGGCGCTCACTGCGTGGGGAGTGTGCGCACAGTGGGTACAGGAAGCTGCGTTTCAGTCTAGGAGTCACGCTGCCAGTGGCCCGTGTGACCCAGGGGAGGGCAGGCCGCCTCCGAGCATCCTCCGTTTGTGGGAAGGCCGTGGTTGGTTTGTGAGGGCCGGGCCGGGTAACACAGACCATGCCCGGGTCCCCTCCTGCTCCCTCCAGGCCGTCCTGGGGCACAGTTCTTGGGGGGTTGAGGGCACCCCCTAGCTCCTTGTAACCTGCAGGAAGAAGTTCCGGCTGCTTAGTGTGGACGAGGCCCCAGGGCGCTGACCCGCCTTCCCTCCTTACTGCTCCCAGTCTGTCCTCTGCGCCCGAATATCCGCCCGACTCTCTTCTCCTCCCCTGTCCTCTCTGCACCCCGGATGCATTGGCTTCCTGCACCCGGCAGTGTTTCCAGGGGTGTGGGTCAGTGTCCCCATGTGCAGTCAGACATCTGTCACACAGGTGCCAGGGACAGGCACAAGCCGGGCTGCTGTGAGCACTGGGCTCTCTCCGACCCATGACTAGACCCTGCCATTTGGGGAGAATTCAGAGTGACTCTGGCGAGGGTGCCGGCCAGCTATTATTTTTCATTTTCTGTGGCTCTGTCTTTAGATACATGAAAGTCAGCCCGGTGTAAGCCCTGCCTGTGTACGCGTCTCTGGGCATTTATTGCAGCAAATGTGTGCCTTTTCGGCACAGTCGTTACAGTGCAGGCAAAGACTGTCCTCCTCGAGCCCGTCACGTGAACTGTTACTTCAGAAAACACCGATCTTCGACAGGAAGGACGCGCATGCTCTGCAGTCTGCACACACTGGCCGTCCCTGCCCACAGCTCCCTGTGTTTGCTCGCGTTTCCCATGCCGTTTGCCTTCAGAACCCGCAGTGCACGGCAGGGCAGAGGAGGAACGTTCAGGGGTTCCCCCCCCCCTTCCAGCTCAAGGAAGCGCGGGGCTCGCTCACCTTGCTGCCCCCTTGCTTTCCCGCAGCCACGTACGAGAACTTCATGCACCTGATCATCGCGCTGCCGGTCGCCGTGCTGCTCATCGTGGGCGGGCTGGTGATCATGCTGTACGTCTTCCACAGGAAGCGGTGAGTGGCGGCGCGCCTGGGGGCGGGCGGTGTGACGGCGTGGCCCTGGGCCAAGGGCAGCTTCTCGAGGAAATCCTGTATTTTTCCATGTATATAATGCACACTTTTTTGCCCAAGTTTTTGAGGGAATAATAAGGAAGTGCATGATACACGGGTGTAGCGATTATATACCGTGGGGTGCAATAACCCCGTGCATGGTGCGCACAAAATCCTGGGTGCGCAGTTACACAGGAAAATGCCTAGTTTATGGATCGGAAAACCTGATTTTCCAATCAAGTGTTCTTCGTAGGAACTGAGAACGTTTCCCGATGGTTCAGCAAGGACACCCTTCTGGGGGGGGGGGGTGCCATCGTCCCCTCCCCGGCGGCTCCGGCACACGGACGCTGCTGCTATGCGAGGCTTCCCCAAGCTCGATCTCTTAACCCTGCTGACCCAGCAACGGTTTTCATTTCCAATGAAGTAAAGAGATGAATGTTTCTTAAAAAGCTCTATTCCGAGGCCACTGAAGAAGCCAAAAGACATGATAGCAACTGTCTGCCAGCCCCTGGGCCTGAGCGGGTGTCGCTGACGGCTGGGGACACCGGGGTCTGCTCACTCCCCTTCTCCTGATACGTAGCAAAACAGAATAGATAAAACTGACTTGAGAAAGATGCGAGTATGTACAGGAATGTGCACAGATGGATTTTTTATTTTTGTTTCTTCTGGCATTTTTTAAAAGTCTACGCTGTATCCTTTCTGACAGGAGCAACAGCAGGCTGGGGAATGGCGTTCTCTACGCTTCCGTGAACCCAGAATATTTCAGCGCGGCGGACGGTAAGCCTCTCCGCTCTCTGCGTGGCGGCCCCAGGTCAGGGAGTGTTGCTAATTCAGGAGGAGGGGTTTGTGTTATTTCCAGGTACCTCTGGCTTCAGAGCTGTCTTCGTTAGCACTTTTTTTTTTTTTTTTTTTTTGAAATCGAAGTTTTTAGCACTTCCCTGAATATCTCAAAAATCCTGGACGGCTTGGGGTGGCCGAGGAGAATCAGGCAGCAGAGCTGACTGCGGCCGGCACAGTCCTCAGTCTGTTTAATGGCTTGGAATTTTATGCTAGAGTGAGAAAAGCTGTGAAACTGTTGACATCCCGGCGGAGGCTACGCTGCTGCTGACAAAACAGACCTTCTCTTGATCCAGCTCAGTCTGCGCGTCATCTTGTCCTGCTTGTCTTTGATCGCTATGGCTTCCCTGCATTTTTGTACCTCCAAGTTTTTCTGTTCCTTCCCTCCTGGGGGCTGAGGATTCACACCTTCACAACCCAGTCACGGTCCCCTTGGTAGTGACTCATGAGGGCCATGTACCCAGGTGGCTGAGAGGGTCTGACTTGGGTTGTACTCGATGTTTTTTTCTCTTTCTTTCTTTTTTTTTTAGCCCTAGCGTGCTTAAATGCAAATCTTGAACAGTGAGCCGGGGTGGGGCATTGGCCATCGGGTCCAGTGACACCAGGACCATTAAGTGGCTCCCTGCTTTGTCCCCTTTGGTCCCAGAAGGTAGACGGTTGCCTCCTCTGAAGGGGAATCAAGCGTGGAATAATAAGCATGTTACTCCTGTTCGTAGGAAGGTCTCACAATGTTGTAATTTTTAAAAACATTTTATTCATTTATTCTTAGAGGGGAAGGGAGGAAGAAAGAGGGAAACATCAATTGGTTGCCTTTCCCGTACCCCCAACTAGGGACCTGGCCCACCACCCAGGCACGTGCCCTGACTGGGAATCCAATTGGCGACCTTTTGGAACCTTTGTGGGACGATGCCCAACCCACTCAGTCAGACCAGTCAAGACACACTTTACATGGATATATGTCCATGTGTGTGCACACACACCCCATGCCCTCATGTGTGTATATGCACATGGAAAGCATATAAAACGTTCTGGAAAGATGCACACCAAACTTAAGTTTCTTATGTTGAGAATCTTTTTCCCTAAAAAAGAAGCAAGAAGCTTTTTATCCACTGTATCAATAATAGCTTTTAAAAAAAGAAATTAAGTGAGGTAAGGATCATCACATGCTTAACGAGCTTTGCAGGAGGCGGTGGGTGGGGGTAACACATGGCCCCACCCTGGTCTGTGCCAGTTGGACTCAGGCCACTGGAAAGGGCCTGCTGTGCACGGACAGAAAGCCGGGCAAGGCGGCACGCGGAGCTCTGAGTGCAGAGTGCCCGGGAAGTGCAGAGAGAGCACTGAGACCGGAGCACCGGGCCCTCTGGTGATTCGCCATGCCCGGCTCTGCGTCTCCCAGAAGGCTCTCACTACGCCCTCACTACTCTTGTGAAACAAAACCCACCACAAGCACCCCTGCCATCCCCCAGGCCAACAGGTGGGGGCGCTGTCACCTCGTTTGCATTTAATTTCTTAGGCCTCCTGACAAGTGCCACCATATAGCTGGGTTCCTCAAGGGGCAACCAAATGACATTGCAGTTCAAAAATGCTTCGGCAACTCCTTGCTCCAAAAACTAATCTGCCTGTCGCCACCCTCCAGGGCTTCGCTGAAAATCCCCTGCGGGGCGGCACTGATGACACTGTGCTCGGGCTGCTAGGTCGGGTCAGGGCTGCTGGGCGGACGGAGAGGAAAGGACGGTGTGTGGGGCCCGGGGACCTCCCCAGGCACGAGTGTCCCTGGTTCCCACTCCAAGTTTCGTGACGCGCTACGCAGTTCATTCTGGTCGAAAGCAGGCCTGGCTTTTCGGAGATAAACGCACAGAGACACCCCCATCTGGGGGGTGTTGTGGATGCCGGATCCGCTGGGTCCCCTCGCGTCCGGACTCGCCTAAGCAAGCGCCAGCCTCCTGTTTGCGGCTGTAAACCATCAAAGCCGGGTTCGGGGTCCACTTGCATTTGTGAAACGTCTCAACACGTATGCACTAGGAAATACGAAAGCGTCTGTGGGAGAAAATTCTAGATTGACTCACACAGTTCCTAGTGCACACTCCTCAGGGCCTCCGATACTGGGGGTATGTCGTGGGTGTCATTTTTAAGTCTCTTTCCTTTAAGACATCACTTAAACGTCAATACTGGGGACTCGGGATGTTGGGACACAGTTGCCAGCCTACTGCTCCGGGGACATCCAGCTGAGGTTCAGGGTTGATGTCTGGAAGCGCAGAAGCAGACAGGCACCGTCCCAGGCCCCAGTCTTTCTCGTTTCTGAGCCGGGATCACCCCCTCCCACCACGCTGGTGTGCGGCGGTGCTCACCCCCAGAGCCTTCACAGGCAAGGAAGGTGGCTCACAGCCATAGACCGAGGTTACGATGGAGATTTCGTGTGCAGCTCATGGGGCAGGTTGATCTCACTTTACTTTTCACCCCACCCATTGGATTTACGGAATGGATCCTGTTTTGTTGTCTTTCTTACCTCCTTTCTTCCCCTTCCTTCCTGCCTCTGATTATTAGTTTATTTATTTTCTTAAACCAGATGGAATCTGATCAGAAGCAGAGGCTGGAGAGGAAACTCTAGTCAGGCTTGGTCATGACCTCCCGGCCCCTCACCACAGTGGTGGGAGGTCCCCAGGCTCACAGAGCCCAGGCCACAGCCCCGGAGGGACACCTCTGCTCATCCGCATCCCTCCATGCTGGTCACCACTGAATGCCCCTCGGTGCCCACACTCAGTGGCTCCGGCACTTGTTACATGCCCCAGGTCTTCAACCAGACCAGCGTTTCCAGTGGAAACATGATGCCAGCCCTTTATGTGACCTTACATTTTTCTAGTAGCTGCATAAGAAAAGTAAAAAGAAGCAGGTGGAATAATTGTCAATGTATGTTTCACTTAACCCAATATATTGAAAGCGTTATCAGTTTTAATATAGAATCACTATAGATGTTATTGAAATATTTATTGTGTTTTGTGCTCAGTCTTTGAAAGTGTGCATTTTATACTTACTGTGTGTCTCAAATCGGACCGCTTTCTGGTTCTTACTATACGCTGTTAGAATCCTCAAATTTTCTAGGACCCCTTGAGGATCTGAAATACCAGGATCTGCACTTACGGTTCCCTTTTGAAATCCACAGCACGGGGGACGTTTCAGAACAAGCCCAGTCGCCGTCCCCCAGCGTCCGCCTAGGTGGGCTCTTCGCCCCGGACGCCGCCCAGCAGCACGCCCGCCCACCCGGGCGCACGGCACTACGGTGTTTCAGTCCCGTTTCCTTCTCCTCCTGCAGTGTACGTGCCCGACGAGTGGGAGGTGGCCCGCGAGAAGATCACCATGAACCGGGAGCTGGGCCAGGGCTCCTTCGGGATGGTGTACGAGGGGGTCGCCAAGGGCGTGGTCAAAGACGAGCCCGAGACCAGGGTGGCGATCAAGACCGTCAACGAGGCCGCGAGCATGCGCGAGCGCATCGAGTTTCTCAACGAGGCTTCGGTGATGAAGGAGTTCAACTGCCACCACGTGGTAAGGGCAGGCCCCCCAAGGAGGCAGGACCTGACGCAGGGAGAACGTGTCCCTGGAGCTCCCAGCAGGACAGTGGCCACCCTGTGGGTTTGGTGACTTGTCCCCATCTGGCTTGCGGAGTTCCCCCATCACCTGCCTCCCTGCGGGCTTGAGACGCGGGTGCTCAGGAAGGTTCTGGGTGGGACACAAACCCTGGCCCTGCTGGGGGGGGTGGCAGTTGTGGACGTCCTCATTCTCTGAGCCCTCCTCTGTGTCACCCCTCAGGTGCGTCTGCTGGGCGTGGTGTCGCAGGGCCAGCCGACGCTGGTCATCATGGAGCTCATGACTCGGGGTGATCTCAAAAGCTATCTCAGGTCCCTGCGCCCGGAAATAGAGGTGGGTTGGGTTGACTGCTTTGCACATCGCCGGTTCCCTTCCCTCAGAGCCTTTCCCCAGAAGGCGCTGCGTCTTGAAGTTCATTTGCATCCGCTATTTCCTGCTGCATGCTTGGTCATGGCCTCACTGGGGGTCCCGTTACCTCCTGCACTGCCGCCTCTCCCTGAGGGCCCGCCTGGCTGCCCACGTCAGCGCTGTGTCCTCTCTGAAGCCAGGCCTGTCCCCTGGCCAGGAGTCACCCTCTGCCCCACTGACTTCTCCACCCCTTGCCTGGCCTGTCCCATGTTTAGTGCCCTGTGACCCCGTCCTCCCCATCACATGCAGCTCCCCCCCCCCCCCAGGCACAGGCTGCAGCGCAGGGCCGTGTTTGTGGCAGGCAGCCTCACACTGCACGCTTCTCAGAGTCCAGCGTCAGCCTGACCGCATTGCTGTGCTGGGGGGGCTTTCCCACCCGGCCTTGTGCGCAAGCCCCGCCCCTGCCCCGCCCCCGCCCCACCCCCAGCCTGTGCCTTTGAGACCAGGGAGCCCTGTGGGGTGCGGATTGGTTTTTGCACTCTTTTTTAAGGATGGAGAGACTTGGGTATACACACTTTGTACAGTTGTGTTCTAAGCAGGCGATTTGCAGGCATTTCTCTTTAATTCCAGATCCAGTCGGTTGCTTCCTATTGCACAGGGAAAGGCTCACCCACATATTATGTTGGTCCCCCTTCCAGAATAAGCTTCAGTTGGACCTGCACCCATTGCCAAGTGCTTGTTTTCCTCATATGCCCACACAATACTCATCCAAGGAAGGCCACGCCACGTGGCAAAAAAAATTAATCTCGATATTTTTGTGCTGTAGTAGAAAGTTGGGGAGAGAGGAAAAGATTGCACTCACAACGATGGGTGTTGCGGGTAACGACACACACAGTGTCCACGGGACACACGTCTGCTTATTTTCTCGAAGCCTTTGTCAGGTTCTCCCCTTCCTGCTCGACCTGTACTTTGGTTGTAGAAATAAAAGGGACATGGTAACAGATAGGAGTCCAAGTCACCAAGAATCAGTGATATCAGAAATGGCTTGTTTCAGTTTACATACCCTTTGCTCTACTCCAAGTAGAAAATGCCGGTCCCCAGCTGTGCTCGGTGGAGTCTCTGTAGCTCCCTGTGATGTGGTCACCAGCAGGTGTCCGGTGTGACCACGAGGCAGAAGCTGTGGTCTCTGCAGTCCTCTGGTCCCTCCAAACCAGTCCCGGTGCCTCGGCAAAACGGCCCCTGCTGCTCCGATGGAGCCGAGCTGGGTTTGCAGACCCCGCAGGAACGTGGGGTGGGAGGGACGCCTGGATGTTCACACGGACTCTTTGTCTTTGCCCGACAGAGCAACCCAGCCTTCGCCCCCCCGAGCCTCAGCAAGATGATCCAGATGGCCGGGGAGATCGCAGACGGCATGGCGTACCTCAACGCCAACAAGTTCGTCCACAGAGACCTTGCTGCCCGGAACTGCATGGTGGCTGAAGATTTCACCGTCAAAATCGGAGGTGTGTCCTTAGCCTCTCAGACCTGAGCGAGAACCACACTCGCACGTGTTTTAGGGACTGAGGCGGCCTGACTGCCCTTGGGGAGGCTTCGCCCACGCCGCCTGTGAGCGCGCCATCGTCCCCAGTGGACAGTCCCAGATGTGGCCAGGCTGGCTCTCACCCTGATGGCACGTGGGCGCCACGGTCCAGGAAGCGGGCCCAGCGGAGCCGAGGCCAGCGCCCCTCAGGTTCCTCTCTTGGCATTTGAGGCATTTCTCGGCAGGATAATTCTAAGCATTGGTTACAGAAATAATTGAGGTGGTGTCCTCAGGTGACTTTGACTTGGGAATAAAAAGGGCCATTCAGCCCTTTCTGGGCAGCTCAGTTGGTCTGAGTGTCGTCCCAAAACATCAAGGTTGAGGGTTTGATGCCCGGTTAGGGCACATAGAAGAATCAACCAGTGATGCATCGGTAAGCGGAACAACAAATCAATGTTTCTCAAGTCGACAAAAAAGTATTTCAAATATTAAAAACAAAACCTTTCTCTCTAGCTCTTGACCTATCTGCTCTGGAAACGCCTACCTTCTTGTACTGATATTTTTCTCTTTGACAATGATGTTGAAGGAAGTGTTTTGGCCCTTCGAGGGCAGCGACCACCCTCTGGAATGGTTTCCAGATGCGGGGTCAGCCTCCATACCGGTCACTCGAAGCTGCTAGAGGCAGCGAGGGAAGCCCCATCATAACAGATATTCCTTGGTCATCAGCTGCTCAGTAGGGGCCGCCGGGGTGCCCCTGGACTTGGCCTCTGGAGGCACCTGCACCAGGCGACTGGTGCCCCTTGAAGCCGGAGAGACTGCCCTGCCCCAGGCTTCCCAGGGAAGAGCCCCTCTGGCCGCCATCGGGGCTTCCTTTGTGACCTGACTCACTTCCCCTTCTGTCCCGGTGCCCCTCACTTCTCCGTCCCCATGGGGATGCCACCAGCTCCCCTACCCCAGAGCTGGGGAGTTGGATGGGCTTGGGCTTAAATCCAGGTGCTGCCACGAATGGGCGAGAGCTGGGGGGAGTGCCTCACGTTCGGTGAGCCTCCAGGTCTTCGCCTGTGGCACGGGAGTGGCAGCGGAGCAGGCCCGGGAGGTGGCAGGGTCGGCGCAGGAGCACTTGCCCAGGTTCTCGCTGTCAGCGTCCCCCCCCTCGCCCCCTCCCTGGCACCTGGGGGGGCTGCCATCCTCCTTCCTCTGCAGACGCTGGGAGTGGGCAGGCCACGGCGTCACTTGCCCTTTGAGGTCCAAGTCCCCAGGGACTGTATTTGCTTTTCAACCATGTGACATATTTATAGCGATTCTTTCTTTCCTCTCAAAAATCTGAAATTAATCTTTTGTATTGGAAGAAACAGTGTGTGTCCTTTGATTTCTTTTTTTCTTTTTCTCTCCCCTTTTTGAACAGATAAAGGCACATCCTGATTTGCATGTGCCTGTATTAATTCTGGGATAAGATTTCGGTTCTTCACTAGGGCCCAAAACTCTGCTTCCAGCGCCCAGCGCCTCCTGGACTATAGTCTGACACTTGTACCAGAGGCAATGTGGCAAGTAAATGATGCTGGTTAACATCAGTCCAAGGAGCCGGGCTCGGTCTGCGGCCTTACGTTTCTGTGGCCGAGTCAGGGACACGCAGGAGCCTGTCCAGAGGAGAGCGGCCCTGTCTCCTGGGGGGGGGGGGGCGCTCAAAAGAGCCCCTGTACGGAAAGGTTACGTCTCTGAGCGGGAAATCAGCCTGACAAAGAGGTAATAATTTAGGATTCTAAAGCAAGCCTGCCATCAAACATGATGATGTGACATCTTCTAGAGACATGGAAAATGGAAGAAATTTCCAAAAACGAGTGGGAGGAATCTGTTGAAAAACATTATGGAGTAATAGCGCCAGAGGCCTGGTAAATAGCGCCTCCCAGGAGTTGCTCCGGGTTCTTTTTCCACCGTGACTGTGAACTGGGCATTTTCTGCTGTGTCCCACGGTGGAGGCCCTGTCCTGCGGCAGCTGAGGGGCGCTGTCCAGTAGTGAAGTCAGCCCGCCCCTGCTTTTCCTCAGTGTTAAAGCTCGTGTTAGTGACCTCTGGCCCACACAGAATTCGTGTTAACTGCCAGTCATTTGAAATGCAATAAGGGATTAACTTTTCAAAGAATCAGAGCCTCGGTGTATTTAGGAGCAGAGGGTTCTGGGTAGTTGCTTGTCATGTGGGGAATCAACTCAGCTCTCACGGCTCCCTCCTGTGGGTTGCAGTGCCATGCGGCCCCTTTAAGTGTGCCACACCCCAGACGCAGGTGTGGGGCCCCTGTGCAGCAGGGGCGGTGCCCCCCCCCCCCACTCAGAGCTGCTTAAACAGCCTAACTCCCAGGCCTTCTGTCTGCCCCGCAGATTTCGGCATGACAAGAGACATCTACGAGACTGACTATTACCGGAAAGGAGGGAAAGGCCTTCTGCCTGTGCGCTGGATGTCCCCTGAGTCCCTCAAGGATGGCGTGTTCACCACTCACTCTGATGTCTGGTATGAGACGCTCTCCCTGGCACTCGGGCCCCCCGGGCGCCACAGATCCCGCTGGCTCGGTGTCCATGGCATGATTTTCCTCCTGTTCCCTGTTCCTTGTCACTTATTTCCTGCTTTGGCCGAGTGTTAGGCAGGCCGCAGTCCATCACTGAGGTTGCCCTGTTGTCAGTGGGCTAGCTGAGGACAGATGACCCTTGTGGCATCGAAGGCATCTGCAGGACCCTGTGTCTTTCACTCCTTAGCTGCTCACAATGGGGCTTGGAGCCCTCGGCACTGGAGCCAGATGTGCCAGCAAACTGCACCTCTTGGCCTGTCCCCACTTTGATCTTTTACAGTAAACACATGGGGTCTGGGGGTGCCTCACTTTGAACTTCAGATTGCGGCCACTGCTCTGCATCGACCCAGAGCTTATGAGCCTTGATGTGTTTTCCTGCTGGTCCCACTGCTGAGCGTCCTCGTTCAGTGGGCACCCGTGGTGCTGGCCCAGCCATGGGATGGAGAGAAAACTCACCCACAAGGGTTCGGGGGACTCTCAGTGTTGTTGTGTGTGGCAGCTCCTCGGTGACACTGTGGCCAGGCGGTCAGGCTCTGAGACACAGCCGAGGTCCTTGGCACGCGCGGGTCCTGGCACACCTGCCTCCCAGCACGCCAGCTGGGTTCTCGGCTGCCCCTGCGCAGGTCCCATTGCTGACGCGTTACAAAAGCGATGGGTGTTTACTCCAGCTCTCCGGGTAATTTAAATAGTGGCCTGCATGGCTTTTTGTTAAGCTCATGAACCTTCCACAGTTCAGGGGCCTTGGATCTTATTGCAAAGACAGGTGCAAATTGGAACTAGCATTCGAATGTGCCAGGCAAGGCGTGATTGCTTCCCGAGCTCGAATATGAGGTCTGTTTTGTCCCAGCCTGTCCCAGATGGTCATCTCTCTATCGTCGAATCAAAGTGCCTGACCTTGTGCTTTGGTGGAGAGGTGGCGATGTGTGCCGGACAGGCCCCTGTGTTTGGCAGGTGACACATACGCTCTCCTTCAATGTCTTCCCCCGTAGTCTGGCCTCCTACACCAACAGGCAGGGCTGCGTGCGTGGCGGGGCCGCTCACTGTTCCTCCTGCTGACTGGGTTCCTCGGCTGCCCCCTTTCCATCAGCTCCACTCTGTCCTAGAGACTCTTCCTCACCCGTGACCTCCCAGGCCCAGCCAATGGTGCCCTCCTCACCTCCCACCTACACAAATGAGCCCTCAACAGGCCTGCAGCCCCCCAGCTCCGGGGGGCGGGGGGCAGACTTCCTCTTTCCCTGGCCCCACTGGGCTTATGAGATCCCTGTTGAGCTTTCCAACACCCCAAGGCTTGACCCTGACCCTGACCCTAAACCAGTGAAATCAGAACTCCAGTCAGAGGTCCAGGCAGCAGACTTGAAACCTGGCTGAATGGCTCTACTGTGCAGCCCTCATTGAGAGCCACTGGGTGGAGGTCTCTGCAGCTGGGAGCCCTTCGGACAGCTGGATGGCCCCCGGCCACGTTTGAGGCACTGACTCGCTGTCCTGGTGGGGCCTGGGGATCCACGTTTGATTATTTTAGAAAAGTTTGTCTGGAGACTGCCCTACCAAGTAGATGGCCAGGGTTAGGCCCCACCTTAGCTTGCCTGGGGTTCAAGTCCAAGGGGCCCTGAAACTCCCTCTACTTGCATGTCCTCAGCTCTGTGACCAGGGCCCCACTTACTCTGCAGGGAACATGGTGGCAGCAAGGGAGGACGAGCGGTCTGCACTTAGCACAGTGCCCAGAACGCATCTGCCGAGTGCTCAGTTGCCACCGTGGGGCCATTTCTCAGGGCTGCCTGGGGTGGAAGGATGCTGGACCGGAGGGGGCTGCAGGGCTCTGCCTCTTTCCCAAGACTCACGTCTCTCTCCTCCCTGTAGGTCCTTTGGGGTCGTCCTCTGGGAGATTGCCACGCTGGCCGAGCAACCGTACCAGGGCTTGTCCAATGAGCAAGTCCTGCGCTTCGTCATGGAGGGCGGCCTTCTGGACAAGCCGGACAACTGCCCTGACATGCTGTGAGTACCCTGGGTCGCAGGTGGGTGGTGGCTCGAGGGCTCCAGCCCAGGCCCCGGGGGGCAGCTGGAAGAGCTTCGTTGTGCGGGCAGGGCTGGTCCTTTGCGCAGTGTCTGCATTCCAGCCGCCTTCCTCAGTCCTCTGGTTCTGACTGTGGCTGGCCCTGTGGTTTTGGAGGCAGACATCTCTGTGAAATATTGGGGAAAAGCAGTCTTTCGCATCGTCTCCATGCAGTTTAGAAACAGGAAAAGGCAGTAGCGTGGCACTGATTACTATTAAGCTGAGGTCCCAAGCCAGTTAATCCACAAAGCTTCATGGCCGGACGCCTTTGTGCACCGACCGGGTAGGGTGAGCCTCGGACAGCCAGCTGCTGCCCCGCAGTGGGGTCCCCCTGGGTCTGTCTCTGTAAAGTATGTATAAGCTTCATGATCCTGTGAGTGACATGCTCCCTGAGCCTCGGGCAGGCCCTGGTGGCCGGAAGCACAGTCTAGCTGACCTCCCTGCACCCAGCTCTGCGCACACCCAGCTCCAGGCAGGGCCAGCAGACTGGTCTCCTCACCTCTCTTCTGTTCAAAGAAAACCATGCACTTGGCTCCCAAGAGTGGTCAGCTATGACACCTTGGGGGCCTCATGGCTGGGTTTGTAGGAGAGGCCCCTCTGCTGGAGGAGGCGGGAGGGCCTTGGTGTCTTTGCTGGAACGGGTCACAGCAGGGTGTGCAGGTGTCTGTGGCTGGGCAGCAGGTGCAGGCAGGGAGTCTGGGACTAACGGTCAATATGCACGTGGAGGCGGGGCTCAGAGATCCCTCTGGACCCCTCTGGACCCCGCAGGTACAAGGTTGGCTCTCACTAGGACCTTGAGCCCAATTCAGGAGTTTTCCCGAAGTGATTTTCAGGACAGGTGCAGGTACATGGAGGGGTGGCACCCTTGTCTCAGTGTGCACATGTGTGTGTGTGTACAGGGGACAGGGGACCCACTCATCCTCTGAGCGAGCACAGGCCTGGGCTGGGGGTGCAGGTGGGGCCACCAGAGGCAGGGGCTCCACTTCTCCGAGGGCGGTGCACCAGGGGCCCAGGTTCCTGGATCCCTCATGAAGGGACTTCCCAGGACAGCGTCCAGTTAGTGCGTTCTCTTGCCCAGCATGGGAATTCTCTCTCCCCACCTATTCTTAGTCATTTGTTGCATTATAGCATTCCCTAAAACCGAACAGCTGAAGACAACAAACAGCATTTGCTATGTCACAGTCTCAGGGCTGGGTGTCCAGGAGCCGCCTGGCCAGAAGGCTGCAGTGTGGGGTCCACCTCCGAGGTGAAGTGCTCACGTAGCCGAGCGCCATGTGAGGCCTGAGTTTCTCTGTGATGCAGCTCCGGTGTCCCTGTGCCGTGCAGCTGGCTTCTAGAGCAGGGCTCAGCCACCTGTTTCTCTGAAGCACCGAGTGCCACCGTGCTCAGCCCCGTGGGCCCAGCTGGTCGTGGCTGCAAAAGCTGCCGCAGACGTCACATGAGCAAGCGTGGCTGTGTGCCAGTGAAACTTTATCTTTGGAGTCTGACATTTGACTTCCACATAATTTTCATGCCCCAAAATATTATGCTTATTTTGATTGTTTTTTCTACCAGTTGCAAGTGTAAAAACCATTCGAGACCCTTGCAAGCTTGGCCCAATTCCCCATAGCTTGCCTGGCCCAGGCGAGGGTGCAGGATCCCGCAGCATCCACTGTGGCCTGCCCTCAAAATCACCCTCCACAGTCCATCACCTGCTGACACATGGATTCTGCATCCTGGGGATAGGTCACATGGGGTGTGACCACTGGGAGGTGAGGCCACTGGGGTGGTAGAAGCTGGTTTCACACCCACCAACTCCCAGTTCCCTGCAGGCTGACTGCTTTGCACTTTGAAGCATGTGGTTGCTATCTTCTTGTTAGCCCATGCTAAAAAAAAAAACTTCATTCGGAGGAAAAGTATTAGTAACAGAGAATGAAGAAAGATCGATGCCCACTGAGTTTGCATGGAAGTGTGCAGTGCGGAAGGGAGGCCAGCACTCAAACGGGTGGAGTTCCAGCAAGTACACAGAGGGTCCTAGAAAGCAGGTGTCAATTTGGGGGTGTTCGTGTGATTAGGGGGTAGTGGGAGGAGAAAGGTTGTTTTTAAGCTTTCTCTTGGGCTTGGGTGAAAGTTTGTCTCTGAGAAGCTTGCGGGGCTCCTGAAGTTGATCCAGCTCCAGGTGTAATTGAATGTGCCCGGGAAGCAGCCCGCCTGCCGCGGGAGCCGCAGTGTACTTGCTGTTCCCACCGCCGAGCAACGAGGGGATTTACGTGCAGGGCTGCTCCTGGATATGAACTCTGTTTAAGTCAGGAGGCCTGTCTGCTTGCCATCCAGAGCCCCTCGGCAGACTTCTGTCTCTTCTAAGTCTAGGACCAAATGAAGGAGGCAAGTGGGTCACACAGAGAGAGCGTCTGTGTCGCCCTCAGGGATGTATCCATGAGCTTAGGCGAGGTAGCGCTGCTGTGGGGGACGAGCTCTCTTGTCACAAGAGAAAAGAAGGGACCCCCGTCTCTCCCAGAGAACAGGGATGTCACTGAGCCCCTGGGGCTGCCCCGAGAGCCCTGCTGGGCATCCATGGGGGGGATGAACCACTTGTCCTCTGGGTCCCAGCCAGTTGAACAGGCACCCACAGGGTGACATGGGTGAGGCACGCGCGTGGCTGCTGGTGGCTTCAGCTCAGCATCAGGAAGATGCTGCAGCTGCCCGGTGACGCCCGTGAGCAGGTGAAGCTGCAGCCCTTCAGGTCAGGCTTAGAGGAAGGCTCCCGGTCCAGGCCTCCGAGGGTCCAGGCCTCAGTGTGAGTTCACTGAGCAGGTGGCATGTGGCCAGATTCATCTTGTGGCTTGCTGTCTGTTGTTCTATTGGCCATTCTATTATTTATTTATATTTATTAATTTACTTATTTTAGAGACAGAGGGAGAGAAACATCAGTGTGCAGTTGCCACTTGCACGCCCCCCACTGGGGACCTGGCCCACAACACAGGCTTGTGCCCTGACTGGGAATCGAACCAGTGACCCTTTGGTTTGCAGGCCCACGCTCAGTCCCCTGAGCCACTCCAGCCCGGGCCAATTCTATATTTTAAATTGATGACAAAGCTTACCCTTAACCTTCTCTTGGGCTCAGGCCCCATATTCCCGCCACAGGCGTCCCTGACCCCCTCTGGGCATGTGCTGGCTGCTGGCTTCCTGGGTTTGCCAAGCCCAGGTTTTGCTGGTAGTTTTGTCAAACAGTCAGGGTGGCCGCCCTGGCCCAGGCAGCCTTGTGACGGGCCTTCCTGTGGAACGCAGGCCCCATGCCCGATCTCCGCCCAAAACCAGAGTACTGGGTGAGGGGTCGGTGGGCCTCACTGTCCCACGGCCCCTCCTGGCTGAGAAGTGGTCCATAAGACAATTTGGGATGTTTGGGGCCGCCAGGAGGAGGTGGCGGAGGGCTCGCGCAGCCTCCAGGGTCTCTGTGACAGCCGGTCGCTCAGCACTGAGACGGAGGCTAAGCTAACACGGGGCCGTGGGCACACCTTGGCCGTGACCATCACCTGCCAGCCACAGGCAGGTGAGGAGGTGAGGCACACGGCGTGCAGGAGGGAGCAGGCGGTGCAGTCCCCTCCAGCCTGCAGCTCCCACTGGGCGGCAGCTCCATTTGGACCTGACCCGACCTGGGTGGAGGGCTGTGCACACCCCAAGTGTGTGGGGGGGGGCAGGAGGTACCACCTCACCAGAGCTGACCAGTGTGAGACACGTGCTCCTCTGAAGAGGAGTTTTATCAGCTCATAAATCCTTCTAGAATCTACTGGAAAGTTTTCTTGGGGAAGCAGTGTAAACAAGGTCTCAGATCCCACAGAATGAAGACTTCCTTTTATGGCCGCTCTGGAAGGGCTGGTTGGAAAGTGGCCTCCGTGGCCTGTGTGTGCTGAGGTCACGCAGCCTGCACCCCCGCCGGAGGCACCGCCTCACCCCGGGCCACAAGGGCGTGGAGCCAGGGCTTGTCCCCTGTCCTTGGACCTGGCCGCTCTGCTCTTCAGGGGCAAGTGAGCCAGCCGAAGGGGTCTTCCCAGCTGTGCCATAGACAGATTTCCTGTGTTGGGGGGGGTCCTTTTTTTAGGAAGTGGTGGGGGACATGAGAAGGGGGAGCTGCCAGTTTATCACTGCAACCCCCATGGCACCTGTGGTTCTGGGGTGACACAGGAGAGGGGGTGTCTCCTGGCGGGGCCGTGGGTTCTCTGTTCAGGTAGAGAGAAAATTCCCCCTTTGGAGGCAGGTGACCTTCATGGCGCAGCCACCCTCTTGCCCAGAGGGCCTGTCCCTGCCCCGCCCCCTCAGGGGACCTCAAACCAAAGATTAAATCCCTCTGTACTTCTGCTTCTCGTCGCCAAAATGGGGGTCTTTTCTGGTGCACCTGCTTCCAGCTCGAGTTTGCTACCAGACCGCAGCGAGAGCTGCTGAGAGCTCCTCGGCGTCCGCCTCATGCATCCACTGTGCTGGCCTGGATGTGGGTCGTTCAGTGGTGAGGGGACGGCTGAGTCGCTCACTCCACAGGTCATGGCACTTTCTGCCAGAGCTTGGGTGGCCAGCCTTATGTGTAAAGGGCCACACAGGCCACATGTGGGGCTCAGAGGCCACATGGGCCCCGTTCTGACTGCTCCGCTCACTCGAGAGCAGCCATGGACGTTGTACACCCGCGTGCGTGCTCCTGCCACAGCCAGACTTGTTTTACAGAAGCCGGCAGCAGCCTCGCTGCCCTGCACCCCCCCCCCGCCCCTCAGGGTCACGTCCTCAGCATCTGGCTTGACCTGACACCTTTCTCCCCGAGGCTTTCAAGGTGGCAGGCCTGGTCGGCTAGGGCCTTGCTCTGTGCAGGCTGGGGTGCATGCCCCTGCAGCTTCTGCCCCCGGAACTTTCCCTGGGGCCGCGTGTGAGCCAGGTGGTCTGTTGGACAAGCGGCTGCCCTGACAGATGGCCAGGAGTCAACTTGGGGTGCTTTGGCCTTCCTAGACATGAGGTGCTGCAATTGGCCATTTTGGTTGAAAAGCATCTTGTTAACCAGAAGTTTAAAAACAAAAACAAAACAAAACAGATCCAGCGAGAACAAAAGTGGAAGGGAAGGCACTTTGCTATCAGACTCACATGAGAAAGGGCCCGCCCCAGAACTGTGGCCTCCCCTGCTCCCTGCGGTCAGCAGGGACACGCTTGCCCATCAGCCTCCTTTATGCTCCAGAGGTCGACTTTGCTGGCCCTTCTGAGTTCTTGTTCCTACGCAGCAGAGCCTCGGCCCGCAGCTGTTCTGAACCCTTGTCGAAGCCTTCCCTGGGTCAGGGGGGCCGGCTGCACCCCAGCGGCATGCTTCCTGGCTCTGGTGGGGAGCTCAGGCCCTTTGCTAGGATGGATGACTTCCTGGGGCCCACGTGACTGAGGGCTTCATGGAGGTCCGCGGCCCGGGTGCCAGGGCGACCCAGCCTATGAGTCCCAGGCGCCACTCCGGCTTGGCACCGTGTCCTCTGCCTGCCGTGGCTCTCACAGGGCCCTGAGCTAGGGCTCCCCCTGCCCCATTGGCTGGGTGGGGTCTCCTCCAGCTCAGTACGCAGCCTCTGCCTGGTGCTAGAAGTGTGCCACGTGCATTGCCGCAGCATGGCGGCCCTGCCTCTTCAAGCCCTTCACAGGTTCCCCACCCTGGTGGCCCCTGCCACATGACGGCAGCAGAGAAACAGCCCAGGCGGGTCTGGAAGGGCAATCCCTATCTCGAAAGCTGTGACCCCCCTCAGCCTCATTAGTGCGGAGCCGGGGGTCTCCTGCGTTCCAAGTCTGGAAAGGCTGTTGCACCAGTGGCTGCCAGAATGCTCATGCACAGCGCCAGCTTATGTTTGCCACTAGTGTTGTCACCAGTCAGGGCAGTTCATGCTAAAAGACGGTGTGCGCCTGTGGGTGGACCCCTCAGGAAGGCAGAGTCTGGGTCCTGCATGGGGACGGGCCCCGGGCAGCGGGAACGCAGTGGAGGGAGAAGTCCGGGGAAGTGGGGGGGGGGGCTGCCGGGCCACCCCGAGGGGAAGGCAGAGGCAGCCTGGCAGGGGGCCCATGTGCATGCGTCTGTCCGCCCGCCCGCAGGTTTGAGCTCATGCGCGTGTGCTGGCAGTACAACCCCAAGATGAGGCCCTCCTTCCTGGACATCATCGGCAGCATCAAGGACGAGATGGAGCCCGGCTTCCAGGAGGTGTCCTTCTACTACAGCGAGGACAACAAGCCGCCCGATCTCGAGGAGCTGGACCTGGACCCCGACAACATGGAGTGCGTGCCGCTGGACCCCATGGCCTCTGCGTGCTCCCTGCCGCTGCCCGACAGACACCTGGGATTCGAGGTGGAGGGCTGCCCGGGCCATGGCATGCTGGTCCTGCGGGCCACCTTCGACGGGAGGCACTCGTATGCGCACATGAATGGTGGGCGCAAGAACGAGAGGCCCCTGCCGCTGCCCCAGTCGTCCACCTGTTGATGTGGGGCCGCGTCCCGTGCAGACGGCACCACGTGTGCGCGCCTGCGCCTGCGCGGCGGGCGGGGGGCGGGCTCTAACCATCTGTCCACAGCCTCCTGCACCTCAGCGGATCTTCAGAGCTGCCACGCCGCCCACGGGAGACGGCGTCTCTGCAGTAAACACACTTGGGATGTTCCTTTTTTCAATATGCAAGCCGCTTTTTATTTCCCTACCCAAACCCTTAACTGACACGGGCCTTTAAAGAACCTTAACGACAACACTTAATAGCAACAGAACACTTAGAATCGAGTCTCCTCACTCTTTCCCTGTCTCCTCCATCTCTCTCTCTCTCTCTCTCATCTCATCTGTCTCTCGCTCTATCTCTCTCGCGCACGCTCTCTCTGTCTTTCTCCCTCTCTGTGCTTCATAACGGAAAAAGCATTTGCCACGAGCCCAGCCCTTTTTATCAGAGTGAGGAAATGGCTGTCCCTCCACGTGGTCCCATCTTGCTCCCATACACACCTGCCTGTCACCGTAGGTCTTTATAAAAAAAAAAAAAAACAGGTTGCGATGGCATTTTTTTAACTTTGTCTTGAACCTTTGTAGGAACACACGAAATTTACCAAGGGCCATCCTTCACCAAGGTTGTTACCATTTTAACGCTGCCAAATTCTGCCAAAACTCGGGACTCTGTCGGTCGCTCACACCCCCTACGCTTGTTTTCTGGTCTCCAGAGGCACAGGGCGAGCACGGCCCCTGGTCACTCCCAGGAGGGCCACACCAGTGAAGCCCTGCGCCTCACTGTCCCCTGGTGTCCGTTGCAGGTCTCACGTGCACACGGGTCAGTTTGCTCTGCACTAGGTTATTCCTCGGGGGAACTGGGCAGAACGGGGCTTGCTGTCAGAGGACGGGGAGAAGCCCGCCTGGCTTCCCGGCTCTACCTCCCCGCCCCCGCCTCTGGCTCCAGCAATTCTGAGGCGAACGGGCCCCTCGAGGGAGAGAGAGCCTGGCACACAGGCCCAGGGCAAAGGTCACCCATGTGCCAGTCTCCTGTCTCCACCCCCCCCACCAGCTCCCACCAGGTCCCCAAGGACACAGATTAGAAGGGGTTTCCAGGGACTGAGCCCAACTGTCCATGCGGGTTTTCGAGGAAAGCAGTTCCGCCGGCACCAGGACCGTGAGAAGAAGAGCAGTACACGGACCCGGAGCTTTATCCTGAGCTTTGTCCACACTTTCTCTGTTACTAGGACTTCCTCGTGGTTTTCTGTGTGAGACCGCGAGACATTTGCATACACATCGTCTTTAATGTCACTTTTGTAACTTTTTTACGGTTCAGATATTCATCTATACGTCTGTACAGAAAAAAGAAAGCTGCTATTTTTTTTCCGTTCTTTATCTTTGTGGATTTACTCTGTGAAAATCTTCAGGTCTGCCCTTCTTCCCTCTCTGCTCACTCCAAGAAACTTCTTACGCTTCGTGGTAGACTGCGTGACTCTTCCTCTTTTCCCGGCACTCCACACTTCCGGAACATAATTTGCCATGAACTGTGTGATGCCTTTTTATAAACCCGCCCCCCCTCCCCGCGGTCCCCCCCCCTCCGGCCCCATTAGTTCTCCTCTGACCGGGAGGCCCTGTGGGCCGGAGGCGGGAGGGACCCTCTCCTCAGCCTGCCCTCGCTGGGCGCTGGAGTCTGTCACCGCACGAGACGTGAGACACGCTCGGGGCAGACGGCAGAGGCTCCTCTCCGCACGTCCGCGCTCAGTGTTTGCGGTCACCGTGGTGGCACAGCCTCCCCCTCTGTCCCTGGCGTTCGTTTCACTCGTGACATGTGTATCTATTTTTTTTAACTCTTGGGTACAACAGAAGTTGGAGCTGCAGAGCCTAGACATGTGGATTTGTTTTTTGTTTGGAAGTAGATATTTAATCTTTCCATCCTAGAAAAAACAGCTGCTGAGTCCAAAGGGTGCAGCGGAGTGTGGTCCAGCGGCCCCTCCCGTGGCCTTCTGCCGCCGCCCTCCAGGCAGACCTGTCCTAGGACCGGAAGCTCCCAGAGACCTCCCTGGCACAGGCGGGGGGCCCGGGGCCCAGGGCCCAGGAAGCCACGCTCCCTCCCGGGGACCAGGGCCCTGGTGCTGGCTGCCTCCCCTGGCCAGGAATCCGACTCCTTGGGGCCTGGGGCTCTTCTGTGTCATTTCCTAGCACTTCTCACCGGGGCGATGACGGCACAGAGTTGCTTCTGGGATGGAAACGTTTCCGTTACAAGTAGGAACAAAGCTCCAATGTGATGGTTGCTAGTTGGGACGAGAGTAAACACAAAAAAGCAAGTTCGGCTGCTTCACACGCTGGCCGGCAGTTTCGGTGCCAGTGTTTTCTCTAGCCTCTGTCCCCCACTTTTTCCCCTTAAAAAGCTGAGAAACAGACAAAGGTGAATCAGGAAGGTATAATAGGAATTTTGATTGATTTTCAGATTCCAGTTTTAATCGCTGTGGAGAAGCCCCCTTAGGAATCGAAATACTGACAAAAGGGGTTTTTGTGTGTGTGTCTGTGTTAGATGGGACAGTTTTTCTTTTTTGGAGTTTTTCTTTCAAGCATTTATCTACCTCACTCTTATTTTTTATACGTGGATATACAAAAAAAAAAAGAGTACATCTCGCATTTCTCAGTACCTGGCAATACGCTGTTGACACTGGTAACCTCATGTAGCCACAGGCCACACGCCAGTGCCACAGGGCCAGGCCGGGCTGGGTTCCGGGGGCGGAGCTGCCCCTTCTCACCTCTCCACTCCTTTCCGACAGCTTGCCTTTTCCTGACATGTCTTACTTGCCGTTGCTTTTTTTCTTCTTCTTCTAACTCGGTTCGCTACGAGGTTGTGAGGTGTCAGGATTTCCCTCCTTCCGGCCCGGCGCCCCCACACTCGGCTGGGAGGTGAGGGGAGCAGCTGTCTTTGAAGCCAACTGCTCTGTGCAGACAGAAGGACAGGGTCTGTCCCTGGAAAAGCAGTGGTTTCCTGGGCTTTGAGGGGCGGACAGCGTGTGTGTTAGCATCCCACCTGTGAAGGCGCAGCGTGTGTGTTTGCTCCACGGGGCACCGCCACGCGCGCAGCCCCGGGCATGGCCCGCGCCAGGTGGAGATGCGCTGTGGCCTGCGCTCAGCGCTGCAGCCGCCTCAGCACGCCGACAGCCCCGCCGCACGGCTGCTGACCTCCCAGCCGACCCCTCCCAGAACGCACGGCACAGAAAGCCCCCTTCCCCTGTCCAGGCCCTTCTCTCCGCCCTCGTGTCCTCCTCCCTCCCAGGGGAAAGCAAAGATGTACCAAACCTTTGGACTAGAGGGGCAGTGGTCAGCGCCACGCCTCCTCCTGGGGCACCTCTGTCCCTCTGTCCTGCTGCTCACAGGTGGACGGCGCATTCCCCGGTTCGGACAGCTGGTGGTTTGATCTGAGCAACACGGTGGGGCCTTCCACAGCACGGAGGGCTTCCTGAAAGTTCCGGTACCGCAGCCAAGCTCAGGGGCACCTCCCCTCCCGCAAGAGCGTGCCTCTCCTCTCCCGAGTCCCCTGAGACCGTACAGTCGTTGAGAAATACTGCTTGATCAGGGTTCTCTTCCTCCACCCTGTAGGTGACCCCCTTGGAATAGTGGCCTGTCTTCTCTTTTGCACATACACTCCGGTTTCCACAACTGGACTCCTACAGATCATTCAGCTGGTTTATAAGGGTTTCATTTCAACTGTCCGAGTTGTCGGTGTCCTTCTGTTCTTGTCCGATGTAGGTGGTTTTTCTTTAAGTAGAAAGCAAACACGAACAGTGCCGTGCCCGTCGTGAGAGATGCTTCAGAGACAGAGACAAAAGCGTGAAGTTTGCTCGCGAGACAGGGCAGTCGTTCTACTGGACCAAACCACCCACCTGGACTCCACCCAGGCGTCATCTGTCCACAGTTATAGCCTGATTTTGTGCTGATTTCCCCGCCGCTTCTGAATTTTTTCTCTTTTGTATGCTTAATCAAACTGAGTTGTGGCATTTTTCCATGTAACCTCCTTCTGACGGCAGCTCACGCTGCTCGAAGTGACATGAACCACTGAAGCACATCACTGCGTGGATGTGAGCATCAACACGTCATCGCACCCAGCCCCTCCCCGAGGCAGCAGGCGCTGGTGTGTTCCGGAGACGTTGCTGAACTTCAGTCGGGTGAGACCCAGACCACCCAGGTCTCCTTTACAGGATGTCGTGACGTTTGACGTGCAGTTGGAATAAACTTCCTCCCTGGAAGATACAAGACGGGGTTCACGGCCAACACCAGCCTCTCCCTCCAGCCTGTTCCCGTGAGTCGGGACGACATTTTTAGCGGTAGGAGACGTGGCTTGGTGAGATAGAAAAGTGGTTATTGTGGAACTACCCAACGGCAGAATGCTTGGCACGAAGCGTGTTGTGTTTTGGGTGGGGTAGCAGATCAAGGAGCCAAGTACGATGCCAATCCGAGGCCAGTGGGTTCCACCGAAGCCTCTTTCTCGGCAGCCCACCTCTGCTGGCAGGTGGCTGTCCATGACGACGCTGGTGGCAAGGCCACAGTAGTTCAATGGTTGAGGCGGCTAGGGAGCTGGGTCCAAGGTCCTCAGCTGTCACGGATGGGTCCTCCCGGGGTGGCCAGACGAGTGTCAAAGGCACCTCCTTCCCAAAACATGGGCCCCTCACAGCGGGCGGTGACCCTCCGAGCCCTGCCCTCCAGTTTTAGCAGACCCAGTAATGCATTTAAGGTTTGGGGTTTGTTCTCTTGTTATGTTACTTTTGTGTGTATTGTCTGTCTTTTCATTTCATGGGCTCAGCAGCGTTGGGAGACACGGACCAGAGATCCACTTGCTAAGAACCAGGGATGAAAGTTAGACTTTCTTACTCTGACATAGTCGGTACAAACGAGAACTTCAGGAAAGGATGTTGTGTAGATTGAAGCTCTCTGTTGCCAGAGATGCTGAAGATACAGACCTCGGACAGGCCAGAGGGTTTCATTTCTGGCCTCCAGCTCAGATGACTAGCTGGTCATTTAGGGGAAAAAAAGCAGGTGAACACTCCTTGATAGTGGAATGATCAGGTGGTAGGAACCATTCTGACGGGGGTCCTGATGTGGTGGGAAGGGAAGAACCGCGAGCAGAAGGGGACAGGTTTAGAGGCAGTGGGGGCCAGGTGTTGAACTTGATGGTTTCTTGAAGGTATCAGACCACATCAAGGCTCTAGAGTCATCCATGGGCATTTGGTTTCAACCAATAAACCTAACATTCTAGATTGGAAATTGTTATTGTGGAGTTAAGACAAATTTTTCAAGGACACAAACTACATCGCACTCGTCAGTGGTCACTTCTGGGGCGTGGCTTTAGGGTTTCGTTTTATTTTGTTTATGCAAGAACGCGGTCACTCATCGGTACGGCCACATTTGTGAGTGTCCGCATCTTTCCGGTAAGCATTGTTTGAATGAATCACACATTAGCATTTTCAATAGGGCTCCTATGTCCAGTAGATTACGGGTAGTCAGTTGACAAAGATCTGGTTTACAAGAACTAATTCAACGTTTCATTGCATTTTTGTAAGAGCATAGAATTTTATAAAATGTTTGTAGTTTGTAATCGCCGAAAATAATTTAAAGACACATTTTTTTCTCTGTGTGTGCAAATGTGTGTTTGTGATCCATTTTTTTTTTTTAGGACACCTGTTTACTAGCTAGCTTTACAATATGCCAAAAAAAAAGGGGGTTTTCCCTGACCCAAGCCGAGGCTCACCTTCTTTACCCCTAAGCTTTGTGCCCTAGAGTATAACAAAGGAATGATGACATTTTAAGAAGTAGTTCTGTATCTTCAGTATCTTGGTCTTCCAGAGCCCTCTGGTTGGGAAGGGGATCATCTTATACTGGTCACTTCCCTTTGGAGCATAGCTACTTTCACAGGCTGAGAGAACCTCATTGGCCAAGGAAAGAGCAGAGGTGTGGCAGCCCAGGGCTGCCCAGTCTTAAGCACCTGGTGTGGTCGGCGTGGCCGCCGCACCGCTGTGCAAAGCCTCGAGATGGAAAGACGGACTGCCCAGCTAATGGCGTTCGCAGTGACCGCCGCATGCAGACTTACCACAGACGGTGGTAATTCTGGTGCACGCAGACTGCTTGCTTACATGCCTCATATCATAATCAGTGCTTTGTTATAACGAGGTAGACAGCCTATTTGTTTTATAAGGCGACACAGAGGATACATTTTTCTAATACAGAACGAAGTTCTTTTTAATAAAAAACTACACAGAAAAAAAAAATTTTTTTTAAAGTTTGACTCCATTTCCTATAGCTCCCAGTGGATTAGGGGCCATGTGTACACACCTCCCCAGAAATCCCCATCATTGGGAATGTGGGTGTTTTGCACAGCATGGGAGAAAGTTCCAGAAACGATGTGTTTTCTGTTTGCAACTTTGCATTCGGATGTTGGGCGTTGTGTAGACACACCCGCGGGTGGGACAGATGCTTGGCAGAAACACTGTTGCTTTCTAAGCCGGTGAGGTTGGGGTGAGAGGTTTGCCAGAGTCCGTCTACCTCTGGGACAAAATTTAAAAAAAAGAAAATTTAAACCAGAAGGCGCGATGGAATGGACGCATCGCAGAAAATGCATTTTCTCAGTTTTCTTGTTTAAAAAGTTTTTTAAAAAAATTTTAAAATACAGTAATTAACAAGGTCAATTTGTTACCTAAGATGACTTTCTGTGTAAAAATTATTCCTAAAAAAAAATTATTTCCTCTGTTTATATAAAAAAGTTAGTAGATGAAAAAAAATTTCAAAATGCTTTTGTATATTCTGTTGTAAGAATTTACTCCTGTTATTCCAATATACTCTGGATTCTTTACATTACAAAAAAAAAAAGAAACTTTGTCTATTTTGAATGGCTGAAGCTAAGGCAATTTTAGTTTCTCTTACTCTGCTTTTTTCTAGTAGTTAAAGTACTACATGGTTTAAGTTAAATAAAGAATTCTGTATGCATTTCTGGCCCCTGGTTTTATTTCCCCCGCCTCCTGGAAGACTCACCACGCCTCTGAGGCAGGGAAGCTGCATCACGTGTGGCATGTGTGTTCACACATGTCACGTGGAGGTGCCCCGCAGGAAGGCTTTGCTTGGTCTCTGACGGCCGAACCGCCTCGGCATGCGGATCGCAGCTGAAGACCGGGAGCTCTTCTGTTCCTCACCCCATGAAATCAGCTAGAAGGAAATGTGAATACCTAAAGTACAGAAATCTGTACGTCAGTGTTTAAAAAAGGTTTTACTGCCCTGGCTGGTGTAGCTCAGTGGATTGAGCGCGGGCCTGCGAACCACGCAATCGCGGTTCGATTCCCAGTCAGGGCACATGCCTGGGTTGCAGGCCAGTTCCAAGCAGGGAACTCACAAGAGGCAATCATACATTGATGTTTCTCTCCTCCTCTCTGTCCCTTTCTCTCTAAAAATAAATAAATAAAATCTTTAAAAAATAAATAAATAAATAAGGTTTTACTGATTGATTTGAGAGAGAGAAACACTGATTTGTCATTCCACTTATCTACACGTTCATCCATCGATTCTTGCAGGTGCCCTGACCAGGGATGGAACCTGCAACCCTGGCATATCAGGACAGTGCTCTAACCCACTGAGCTACCCGGCCAGGGCTGTACTTGAGATCTGTAGACTTTCCACACCATCCACTGACCAAAGTCAGGCCAAGGCAGGTTTGATCTGGATGACCCGGGGGCAAAGGGCGTGACCTCCACATTCCCATGTCCTTGTTGGCGCCTCACAGTCAGCGCACCCGCCCAGGGGGACCCCGGGAGAGCACACGCAGGACGTGGCCTGTTCGGGAAGTTCAGTTCCTTGTGAGCTGCTGCTCTCGGCCCACCTGAAAACAGGGTCCGGGGGGATGGTCACGGTAGGAAATGTGGATGCCCGTTTACGGGAAACAAGGTGTAAATAAATGCTCTAGAATCAAACCAGAGATGCGTGAACACATCACAACAACCGGTGGCTTGTTCACTACCCCCTGACAGTGGGAGATTAGCAGCAAACCCAGGCCGCCGGATAAAGGCTCCATAGCAAGGTGGAAGCGGCGGGGAATAAGCCAAAGGCCATGCCTGAGACCCAGTGAGTCTCACAAGTGTTTGGGCCCAAAACAAGCGGCCTTCCTAAAAGAAGGGACTCATAAACTTGGTGTTGACCCTGGGGTTTTGCTCACCCTTGTCATGAAGTGCTTGGCCTTTGTGGGGACAGTTACCAGGTGACTGATGACAAAAGGCAGGCTGTTTCCAAGGCTCTGGTGATGTCCGGGCTGTGGGCAGAGCAGACGCAAGAGGCCAGCGTGCCTCTCCCACGCGCCGGGGCGGGCAGATGCTGCGTGCCGCACCTGTCCTGGGGGGCGACTTCTCCCGAGGAAGAAGGGGCTGGGTCTCCAGAAGTGCTATCCTCGCTCCCCACCGTGCCACTCCCAAAGGCCCCAAGTGCAGCAGGGCCGTTTCTCTCTCTACTTGGGAAGGTGTGTGTTTTCACCTCCATCCCCTCCCTGGTCTCTGTAACAACTCCTCAGTGGAAGGGTTTTGTTAGTTTGACCGATGAGCCCAGGAGCGGAGGTGTCCAGGACCCTCCCGCCATTAAAGGGCCAGTCCCAGGCTCAGCCTGGTGAGCTGCGGTTTCCGCGCCGACTTAGAACTGCCCACAGTCATAACCAAACGGGCCCTCAGCTGCACCAACAAGAGGTGGCAGGCCAGGCAGCCCAGGATGTGGGCCCTCTGGGGTTCTCCCTTAAGAATTTCGGAGGCCACCCAGGGGGAAGGGACTCATTTATTACGAGAGAGCTCTGGGCCTTTCGACCGAATGACATTTAAAAGTCTGTGACACGTGTGTGGCTCAGTGCCAGGCGATCTGAAAGGGCACAGGAGCAGGCCCGAGGCCTCCACTTGCCACCGTGCTGGGACGGGAGCTAGAGGGATGGGAGGGGTGGGGCGATTGGGACTCGGGCCGCTGAGTTTGCCCGCAAACCCAGAAGGTCCTGCGCATGAACATCCGCAGCCGGACCTCGCACGCCAGGCCGCCCCACCCCCACTCGCTGGCTTTGCTGTGCTACAGCCGGCTTCCGCCTCTTCTGTGTCCAATGGTCCGGTCTCACTGCGAGCCAGCGCGGCGTCATGGAAGCAAAATGAAAGCGGAAACGGGCTCAGAAGCCAACCTTGGCTATTAGCCTTTGCTTACAGACCAAACAGTACCTGTGCAAATAGAAAACAGCATGGCTGCCAGGGAAAACAGTATATGGCCCGTCCTCGAAGATGACCCCCAGAACGACCTTGGTTCAGCAGTTCCGCTGCTAGGTGTGCACCCATGTGGCCTGAGTCAGGGACTCTACCTGGTGTGCGCACACCTGCGAGCACCATAGCGTCCACACTGACCAGGAGGCGGAAGCCACTCAGCGTCCGCCACAAACTAAAGAGATAAGCCACACGTGGTCTATTCATACAATGAAGTATATTATTCAGCCTTTAAAAGCACAGAAATTCTCATGCGTGTTACAACATAAATGAACCTTGAGGACATGCTGAGTGCTGTAGGCCGGTCACCCAGGGACAGTCCCTGTGAATCCATTTGTACGAGGTCCCTAGAGATGGAAGGGAGAATGAGGATGACGGTGGGGGGGTGGAGATACTGTTTAACTGGGATACACTTTCAGTTTGGGAGGACGAAAGAGTCTAGAGACGACGTCTGCTCCGTGAACGTACGTGGTGCCACGGAGCACTGAACAATGGTTCAGATCGCCCATTTCGGGTCACGTGTATTTCACCACAATTAAAAACAAAGGTTTCAAAGGAAAACGGAAAAGAAATACTTGAGATACAGTGGCCCAGAAGCCGCCCACGGCACCTGGATGTAGGACCGGGGCACTGAGCGGTGGCCACATCTCCGTGTCCTCACCGCCAGCCGGCCACCGTCAGCCCACCACGTGCGGCTCCGCAGGCCAGGCCTGTGTTCCCGGCAATCAGGGCAGAATCACACGGGCCCACTGCGCATTTTAAGATTAAAAAAAAAAGATTACGAGGTTTTTATTTTATTGTCATGAAACTCGTAACCGAAGCTAGTTAATCCCTTATGAAATGTCTGCCTTTTAGACTATTCTCCTGCCTTCTGCCAATAAAGCGACTCTGATTTTTTGTTGGGCGAATTCACGATTTTTCCCCTCTGTGTAAACTGTTTTACAAGCAATTTTCTCAAAGCCTCTGAAAGCTCTGCCGAGCTCTCCACACAGGCCTGAACCATTTGATTTTCCCTGAAGGAGGAGCCCTCCGATTGCTTCTCCGGGGCTGGAACCACTGAGGGTGAGATTTCCGGGCACCGGGCTTGGGGCCAGGGCTTCCTCGCCCGCCTCCGGCATCTCCTGGACGAGGACTTGCAGGGCTTTCCCCAGCAGGCTGGCGGGGAGCCAGGGGGGTGATGGAGGGAGGGGGATGCGCGCCTCGTGCCCGTGTCCGTGATGCAGAGGCAGGGAGTAGTTGTAATCGCAGATGTCTCTGCAACCTCAGGAGACGCGAGGTTACCCCGTGGACCAGCCTCTAATCGCAGCGAAAGGTAAGCAGCAGTGGCGATGTAGCAGCCCTGAAACATGAGTGAAGGCAGCCACCCGGCAGACAAAGGCTTTGCCCTCGTGCCTTGGAAAGTACTTGTTACTAGGAGAAGCTGGGCAGAGACCGGCTCTTGGCTTTGGGGTCTCATAACCAGCAAGCGGCTGAGCTGGGGAGGGCCCAGGTTTTTGAATACTGGACCCAGGCACCTTTAACTCGTGAACTCTCTCACCCGAGTCTACGTTCATTCTTTTTTTGTAGTTTGTTTTGTTTTTCACGGGGAGGAGAAACGACCTAGAGGGGGTCAAGGTGTGGAGAAAGAAAGGTGAGTGAGTCTCTCTCGGGGGCTACATCAGAATCCTTCGGTCACCACTTGGGTCGTGATAAAGAAAAAGAAAGCATTCAGAAAATGTTGGCGACTCAAAATACGCCTTTACAGCTATTCTCTGTCAATGCTCCGGTGGTGGCTTTTGGGAAAGGGGACCCGGGGGGGCCACGGTGGGGAGACCCAGACTGGTCTGCAAGGACCACCCACGGGTCCTTACCTGTGATCAAATGCCCAGCTGGACGGCACACGGTGGCCTCTCAGTGGGGAACGGGGACACCCCAAGGAAAGGCGGGTCAGAGGACACTGTGGTCACCCTCCCCTCCCTGCGCAGCGACAGGACGAGATAGAACGCACCTGCCCGCATCTCGGGAAAAGGCCACCTCCACACCCTCTCCCCGCACCAGGCGCCAGCTCTTCAGCAGGTGCCGTGGAATCGTGTCTCTCTAACAAACTGCTGATCGAGGAAGCCGGTAACGGTGTTAATACAATAGCATACAGATTTTGGGGGCTGATTATTTTTCTTGAAAAAATTACTAAGTATTTTAATCAAAACTTTTGGGGTATGGTCTTAGTGGCTTGGAGGTGTACGTTTTATTAATCTCATCAGCTTGTCTGTGTTTTTTTTTTATATTTATGCCAGTTTATTTTTCTAGTTTCATTTATTTATTTTTAGAGAGAGGAAGAGAAACATCAATGTGTGGTTGCCTCTCACACGCCCCCTGACTTGGGACCTGGCCTGCAACCCAGGCATGTGTCCTGACTGGGAATCGAACCTGTGACCTTTGATTCGAAGGCCGGCACTCAATCCACTGAGCCACGCCAGCCAGGACTATACTAGTTGTTTGTGCAGTAGCTGTTCAGTTGGAATCAGCTGGGTGATGAAGGCGGGCCCTTCCCGGGGGCCACAGTCTCACCTCCCCAGGATGAGGAAGGTGCCCTTCCAGGTCCTACAAGTCCTTACCAACCTTCCCCAGAGTGAGCATGGCCAGGAACGAACCCCAGGGCGCCTCCGTCCGGTGGTCCCTGTCTTTCGAGTCCTGGCTGGGAACAGAGCTTCCATTTCTTTTCCTC